GTTATATATATAGTGAGAGAAACTTGGAAAGTCAAAGATTGTTCAAACGAGGATTTACCTCTGGGAGAACACCTTGTTTTTACTTTCCTTTTTTTTAATTATTTTTTAAGGATTTTCTTTTTTTTTTTTCACATTGTCCAGGCAAAATTATGTATTTTTGCTGACGTGGCTGAACAATCTGGCCAACTGGTAGAATTTTAGTAGGAAAAACTTAACTCCTTAATCTTATATTTTTAAATAAATTAAGGCATGTGAATTATTTATATATTTTAGAATAAATTTTTATTATTAATATTATCGACACATTAAAATATACTTATTTTGGTTTGATTAAATAAAAATACATTAAATATATATTTTATATAAAATTAAGTTCCCAAGTCTTGCATTTTTTTTTCTCTAGCCATGATATTTCAATTTAAGTGTTAAATGATTTATTCAATTGGCACGTATCCTCAATCTGTCATATATTTAATGTGATTGATGATTTCCATTTATATAGATATATTAGAGGAGGATGGCAGAATCGATTGAATTTATTGTAATGAATTAATAATATATTGCATTAACAATCTAACATCCAAACAAATATTTGGTAATCTTTTTGTATTGTTAATCAAATATTGCATGGATAGTGTATGACACTTCTTGTTCTACGCTTAGATACAACCACGGCATTTGGCGACGTGAAATGTGTGAGCAGTCTCAAAATCGTCCCCCAGCACGACACGCTCATTTCAACGTTGACAGGCAGATAACAAGCTGCATTTTTTTTTTTCTCATGTGGTAGTCAGATCTTTTATTTTCTTCTTTGTCACATCCAGAGGTACCGGCCCTCAAGCTAAAAGTATGTTCTTGAAGGGTCATGGCTTCAAAGAAAAAAAAAAAATTTGTCTTATTAATATTGCCGATTATATTTTAGGGTTTTGTTTTGAAAGTTCGGTCTTGCAGGTCTCAGCCATAATATCTATTCTCTCCTTTCCAATTTAAGAAGCTAATAAACAGATTTATTATCCTAAAAAAATTATTACATGTGAGATTAAATTTAAAAAAAATAAATTTAAATAAATCCATACTACAATAAATGTGTAAAGTTTAAACATCCAAATCCAATATCATAATAAATAGTAACATCATCAAAATATCAACACCAATAATGACTAGTCAGCAATATTTTGATGATTGTCATCACCATCATCATTATCATCAATATAATTTGATCCTAGATTTCAGTCTTTTAGATATATTTTTTAGTTTTACTCTGCATTATTTTAACTTAATTTAAAAAATAATAATAATAATAATAAGGCATGGCCTGAAATTCTATTTTGCACCTCAAATTACTAGCCTGACCCTTGCTATTTTTGGATTTAAACAAGTTTTGCCCATTTTCTTGACTTGACTCACATCCATTGTAATGTCCAGTTGAGCCAACCTGATTTGGGTGGTTTTCCTTTACTGTTGGACCATGTGAGTTTGGCTTGGACATGACATATTGGGTTTCAATTTTTTTTCCAGCCCAATACGACCCTATCAATGTAAAATACTCTCCCTTCAACCCACGTGATAGTTTTAACTAATTTATTTTTTAAAAAATTAAGTAATTTTAATTATTATTAACTAAATGTTTAAGATTATATAATTTTTCTATGCTTTTTTTATTTAATAAATTTATAAAAAACCTTAGTAATTATACTTCTAATTCTTCCTAAGTTTTATTACCTTCTATTAGTAGCACCATGACTAGCGATTACATAATCACATCCATTTCTCTCTCCAACACTGAATGGCCACATTCATCTGATGAAATTCGATCTTGCAATGTTGCTAGTGAGTATCACGAGAACAAGTCTATTCTAAGAAACTAATCCATCAAAAAGAAGAGCCTCGTATTTATAAACTTCACTCAACTTATCTCAATACGAGGAACAATGATTACATAAACACATCCATCCTTTTTTAGACGCGGAACGACGGCCTATTGGACTGGTCTTGTGATAGCAAACGGCACCGAGAATGGCAAATGAGGAATCACACCATTCCGAGACTGTCCCTAGTTTTTAACTTTCGTGCTTTTGCTTTCTTTTATGTTAAAAAAGCAATGAAATAAACGAATTCCTTATTTTGACATGTGCAAAAGGTGAACCAGAACTCCATCAGAATGTTGCAGTCTGGCTTCCATCGAAGGCAAAGCCGAAGGTGCTATAGATTCTTTTAATTCTCCTTTTTCCTGGGCTTCATATAAAGCCAATTTTTCAGACCAAATTGCCTCTTCATTTCAGGGCCAATTTACCAACATTGCCCCATCCTCTTCAAACTTAGCACCCACGGACTCAATGTGTCACCATCTGATGGCAGATTTGTGCTTGTTTGGATTGGGCTTTTTAACATTGCCTAAGTCCTTTTCTTATTATCAGAAACCAGCCTCAATTAAAATAATAAATTTTAAAAATTATATATAAAAATAATTTAGACAATATTTAACCACGTCCTTACTATACATTTCAAATTTATAATTAATTACGCTAACATTATAACACAACTATTTATTGTTCATTGTAATGAACCAAAAACATCAAATATATCACATTAATTGTCTGATCAAATCAATGCAAGCTTTCATTATTAACTAAAATCACTAATACATTATCAAAATATATATGACATTAAATAAAAACCAACCAAGAGACAAATAAAAGAAAAACTTATATACTTAACCATATATATTTAAGGTACTTATTTTTAATTAAATTCAGATATGTGTATTTTTTATACAGATTATTTATTCTATAAAAAATTATGTTATTAATATTATAAATATGTTAAAGTTCATATGTTTTAATTTAATTAAACAAGAATATGCTAAATATATAAATTAAGTATATAAGTCTTGTCCGACAAATAAAAACAGAAATAATATAATTTTGCACCATTAATATTTTAAAAAAAATAAAAACTAGTTTTTATCTGTTTCCCACCTGTTCTTAACTGGCTCAGTGTTTTCAGTCCCTGACAACGTGGTTATAAAAGTTATTTTGAAATTTGCTAAAATCATTATTTTCAAATATCCTGAAATGCTCAAGGCATCGTATTCTTATGGCATGCGTGGGTCACTGGAGAAAATAAAAAGGAGAGAGAATGTGAGGGGATAAAATTGAAGAGATGCAATTTTCTCTGACTATTTTGCTGAGTGGGAGAAAATAAGAAAAAAGAAAACTTGTTAATTTATTTGAGTAATGATAATCTTATTATTTGAAGAAAAATATTTCTATATAATAAATTTAATATTTTAAACTTATAAAAAATTAATATTTTAACATGTTATTTATATAATTTTTATTATATATTAATGATTAAATAAAAATATAATTGTAAATTATTTTATCGATGCTAACAAAAAAATATTTGTTCAATTTAATTTTTATCTCGAACATTTTTCCCTTTCTTCTACTTTTCTTTTTTGCCCAGCATAACATTAAAGCTTATTTCCTTCTCTCCTCTTCAGCATAAAGTTTCCCTACATCACAAATGCTCAAGACACTCATACCATAGATTTGCAAGAATTTTTCTTTTTTGGGTAATCGATATACAAGAAATTTTATTTATATTCTCAGCCACTTTTGTTTAATGTTTTATATCTATCTGAATGGAATCATTCAAATACATTTATTTGATATGTTGAAACGGAATATTCTGAATATGTATTTGCTTAACATATGATTATGAATTTATGACTTCTTAGATATTTTTTTAAGTGAAATGCGCACTTTATCTTGAATCATGATTTATCATTGGTTAAGGTATATTTTGTGCGCTCTAATTTTATATAAGTTTTATTTAATCACTTAATTTAATAAAGTATCCTTTTAATATTATTTAAACCTAACACTAGTTTCAAATTATTTTTTGTCAATCATTATTATTTTTAAGAAAATAAAACTTATATATTAACACCTAAGAATGTTTATCACTATTTAAAAATTTAATGTATTTTTTTGTGTGATGAAACTAATGAGGTTAGATTTAAAAAATTAAAATATACTTTATAAAATTAAGAGATCAAAATAAAATATTGTGTAAAATTTTAAAACTAAGTATACTTTAACTTTCATGAGTTAGAATATGTGATTGTAAATCTATATAAATAAATTTACTTAAATTTTGTTTAGAAAAGTGTTCTATTTATAAATTATTTGTAAATTACTTTTTCAGTGCATCGAGATTTAAATAACAAAAAATACTAATAATAAAACTCATGTCTTTTTTAGTAATTAAAGATTTGCAATAACTTCTCATTAGGTCTACCATCTAAATAATTTTGAATTTATTAAACTTTCGATTGATGTCAATTATAATTATTTCAATTTTATCAAATAAATATAAATTAAAAACAACAATAATCAGATTCCAAGATTTTTTATTTTATTTTTTGAAGAGATTCCAAGATTCATGAACTGAAAAGTTTGTAACTAATTTTGTAAGAAAAATAATAAATGTGAGTGATTTTAATATTAAAAGTTAACAGAAAATGTGACGCAATTATTTTATATTTAAGTTTTCCCATATGCATGTATATCCTTTTCTCACATTTGCCGCGGTAAATTGCGAAACTTCGTCACGGTACGGTCCGCGGAGGGCCTCACCGTTTATAACATTCCTTCCTATTTTAAATTCTAACCCTCTTGGATTGACAGAAAATAGACACCGATACACTTGCAAGAAATCTAGCCAAGAAAGCGAGAGAAAATTCAGTGAAATGGTGGGCTAGAAAGTTGGCTAAGTCTTCTGTAATTGCTTTTCCTTGGTAGGGCCTATTGTTTTGATGTTTTCTGGTTCCCCAATAAAATCTGAATTCATGTGCGAACTTGGGAGATAGCCGATGGTCGCGAAACAAAACCCACGAAGAAATGTCGCAACGTATATGAACATGCTCTCCTCGCTTCTTTGAATCCTTACCCCAATCTTTCTACAAATGGCTTCTCTTCGTAGACTTGCTCGTCCACGCCATTTCTTCCTACACGTATCGTTCTTTCTCTTCCTTCTCTTTCCTGTAGCTTGCAATTCCCTTGCCTGCTTACCGATACTGATTCCTGTATTTCCTTTCTTCCTGCTCGCAGATTACTACTTCTCACCTTCTACTCTCCAAGAAGGTCTCTTCATTTTTCTTTACTTTCTTTGGTTCCTTCTTTTTGGAGTATAATATTCATAGTGATTAATCTCTCCGTTTCAGGGGGGAAAGTAGTATTCACTATTCACTGAAGTAAACATTTCATTGTATAGGTCTTTCGGGAAGCGTTCGAAATTTTACAGCACGATTGCATCGTTGGGACAGAGTGTATTAATAAACCCTGAAGATGGCGTGGTCAGAGCTGAAGCAGGCAATCTGGATCTCGATGAGGAGATATATATGCTTCGGCGTGATTTTGAAGCTGCCAAAGAGAGTTTTCGCAAAATTCCTGATACGCTGAAAGAAATGCCAAAAATGAATCCTAAAGGTTGGTCAAATATTTCTTGGACCTCGGAAGAAATACATTGTTCAAGAAAGTGATTGGTTTCTATCTTGCGTTGCAGCAGGCATATACGTGAACAAAAACTTAAGATTGGACAGATTGCAAGTTTATGGGTTCGATTACGACTATACGTTGGCACATTACTCCTCCGATTTACAGACTCTAATATATGACCTCGCAAAGCAGCACATGGTTAACGAGGTTAGCGCATGCCGATTCTTTCTTCATTTCCACTTCTTAGTCTTTTCTTACTCCTCTCATTGCTTTCTTTCAGCTCAGGTACCCTGAAAGTTGTATGGAATTCAAATATGATCCATCTTTCCCCATTAGAGGCCTTTACTATGACAAGTCAAAGGGGTGCCTTATGAAGCTGGATTTCTTTGGTTCAATTGAGCCAGACGCATGCTATTTTGGTCGACGCAGGGTACGACGCTGATTCTCTATCTTATTAGGCACACATATACTTGGCATTATCTTATAGCCTTGTGCTATATTTTGATTTGGATATAATGAATGTTGTCCCTTGCTTGGTAGGTTCTGACTATGCATAGTTAGGGCTTATTTGGTATGTAGAATGGAATTGAATGTACGAGGGTCATGAAACGATGAGGAAAAAGCTTTTTTATTTTTAAAAATGAAAATGTCATTTGCGTCCCCGGATAAAATAAATTAATGGAATAGCATAGTGAAGAATATGATGCATATTGCATATTGGAGATTTTAAATGCTTATACTGTGGAATCTTGGGTTACTTCTGGTAGACATGCTACTCACATCACGGTTTGTTGTCAATTATAACAATTGATCCTTTCCATGAATTTACAGTTAAGCGGACAAGAAATACGAGATATATATGGCACACGACATATTGGTCGGGAACAAGCCCGCTCACTTGTTGGTTTAATGGATATCTTCTGCTTTAGTGAGGTTAGTTTCTCTGCTATTTTGTTGCACAATGATAGTTGATAATGACCTGGTACATAGCAAGGGAACCTTTAGTAGTAACTCGACTTTGAAGACATTTCCCCTCTTTTTTACAGTAGGTTTAGTAATTTTATTATTCAAAGATTTTTATTCTAGCGCTGAATCTGTTCATGTATTATGTCTGAGAGTTATAAAGCCAAGTAACACCCTGCCATCCGCATGCTGCTCTGTACATTCAGCCAAACCAGAGCGGTCCTGTGGCTATATCTTTACTTAGTTATGGCTCTAAGTTACCATATTTGTGATAGAATAGCTCCAGCAGTGAGGACTTATTGTATAAAGACTGGTAGGTTCAGTCATATTTCAGAAATAAAGTGAAAAACGAACTAGCCAGAAATAATTGGATAATTTTTGTTCCGTTTCATGGGACTTGTATAACATATTAAAACTCCCTGGTTTCTCTTTTTTTTTTAAAAAAAAAAAATCTTGATAGACCATTTATTTTGCTGTTAACAGCTAGCAGTCTCTAAGGTTTTGCTCCTTTTAGCCATTTTTATAGTTGGTATGAAGATATAAAAAATGTTGGTTTTCTTCAGGTTAATTTCCAACTGTAAGACCTGCTTTCATAGCTAAGCAAGCTCAGACTTCAAGAATATTTTAAGGATTAAGCCATACCTCTGTCATCAAAGATGGAATATGTTCCAAAGCATGTGAAATCTCAAAACTTCTTTTATAGTTTTAAGGCTTGAAGTTTACATTTAGAACTCCCTTCCCATATCCTTCTGCTCCACTCTGGGCATCTTTTGACTTGATGAGGCAAAGTTTCTCTCTACCATGAAATTTCTTTGTTTAGGACTGATCCCTTTACACGATTGCTTTACTTTGTAGGCGTGCCTTATTGCAGATATGGTGCAGTACTTTGTTGATGCTAAGCTGGAATTTGATGCTTCGTACATTTATGAAGATGTAAATCATGCCATTCAGCATGTCCACCATAGTGGCTTGGTTCATCAAGGCATTCTATCTAATCCACATAGATACTTGGTTAAAAATGTAAGATTAAACCGTTTAGCTTCCTTTTTTCCTTTCTATGAATATGTTCAATACATTTCAATGTTGATGTTCTACAATGTCAGAAAAGAGTTAGTTGTGAAACTACTTTTATAATTAAGTTAAACTCATTTTTTTATCATCATTGAGATAAACATGGTGCTGCAGTCGTATTTTATAATTTAAAGGTTATATCCTCTTGTAAAGAGTTTGTAATTGTTGTCATTCCTTTGTTGGTAAATATTTCAGGGGAAGATATTTCAACTCCTCAAGATGCTAAGGGAGAGGGGCAAGAATCTTTTCTTGTTGACTAATTCTCCTTTTAACTTTGTGGATGAAGGGATGCGCTTCTTGCTAGAGGTAATTGCTTGAGATGATATTGCAGAATACACCTACTGTCTATTGTATCATGGAGAATGTCCTCTGTAATTCTCTACAGCCATCACTATATCAATGAAACTTTGCTTGAATGAATGCTTAAAAGAATGAATTATTTGACCTCATTGAGCTTGGTCAATGATAGAGTACAATGGCGTCTTGCAAACCATATATTTGATCTCACTTGGTTGGATAAGACTTGTCATTGTTGTTGACAAATTCTAGTAACAGCTGTGTGATGGAGTTATGTGAAGTGCATATAATGCCTTGATTGTTATCACTGACACTTGCGTTTTGATGTTTTGTCTACTTTTGTATTAATTTCACGGCTGAAAGTTCCTACTTGTTTTTAAATATAATTATTCATGCTGAAATTATTATTTTTTTGGTTTTTTTTTTCTGTATCTGGCCATAATTTCCTCAGTTGATTCTTTATTTTTTATTAGGATTCTACGGATTGTAGAGACTCCTGGAGGGATCTGTTTGATGTTGTAATTGCCAAGGCCAATAAACCACAATTTTATACATCTGAGCATCCATTCCGGTTTGTATTCTCTTGTTTGATTATTTCTTTTAATTCAATTTACATTTGTGTGCACTATGTGAAACAGTTGCATGGTGCCAATTTTTCATGATTATACCCTAATTCTTTCGTACTCACATTTTTTTATATGTTTAACAAGGGCATTAGGGATCAATTACTATTTTGCTTTGGTTTCCCATCGCTATGAAAAATAAAACTGATATACGAAGCCTATGCCACTTTGATGCTCACTCGCTCTCTCTCACACACATGCACTCACGCACAACTACGGCAAATCTGGAACTGATAATGATTGTCTATCATATGGCTGGGTTGAAAATTCTCTCTTCCTCACTGGACTTAAGTACACCTGGGTTTTTGTCTTTCAAAAGTTCTCATTGTTAAATAATTCTTGCTCAGCTAGCATCGAGCCTCTTTTTGTGTGCATTCAGGATTTCTTGCTTATCCCTCTTAAGTATATCATCCTGAATTCTTTTATGAAGACCTTGAATGTAGTAAGTTCTTCCATGCCAGATGTTATGACACGGTGAATGATACATTGACTTTCACCAAAGTTGATGCATTTCTTCCTAATAACGTTTACTATAATGGATGCCTCAAATATTTTCTTCAATAACCAAGTGGCGTGGGCCAGAGGTATGCTCTCTTTGGATGATATATAAGACATTCGCAATACTTATTCTTAGCTGCTTAAACTCAAAGAAGTTGTGATAGTAAAGTATATCACTAATTTGACAGAAATGATCTGTCATGATACTCTTTGAAAGCTGACAACCGTCCTCATTATCAGGTGATATATTTTGGAGATCACCTATTTAGTGACTTGAGAGGACCTTCTAAGGCTGGTTGGCGAACAGCTGCAATCATCCATGAACTTGAGGTGTGTTTAGCATTTAATTCTTTCTTGTGTAGATCAGAAGCAAACATTTATATGTTGAGTTTTTTGTCATAGTCAACATTAGAATCAGATGTTGTATGTAATGTGTGTTCAATGCTGCAGAGTGAAATACAAATACAAAATGAAGATAGTTACCGTTTTGAGCAGGTATACTTCTGCCGCCTGTTATGTTCACCTTGACTTTATTAATTTGCAGTTCATACTTTCATGCTGAAGGATTTCATGTAACCTTACCCAAGTGTTTTATTGAACATGTGTCCAGGATGATCTATGTTGTGTTGCCTTTGGTTTTGAATTAGTCCTCTGATCAAAACTTGTCAATTATAGTTTGTTAGTTAACTAATGAACAACACAATAGAAGTTTGTAACCACTGGTTCATGGTTTACTGTCTTTTCTGATACCAAAAGCCTCTTATATGTATTGTGGGATGGCCCTGAGTTGTGAGGATTTTTGCAAGAATGTAAATTTTTGTAGAAGTAAATAAGCTTTATTAAGTTCAATTCCTTGAACCTAGGGAGCTAATCATTCTGGGTATAGTTGGAAGTTGTAAATGTTAGAAATATAATCTGCATGGCTTGTTTTTGTTGTTATTGTTGTTGTCCAGTTTGCATATATTATTATATGGATGTATCCATTTGTATAGGAAGCCTGAAACCTGTTTATTAATCCCAAAATTCAAATGGCCATCCAGTAGTAGGGTATATCATACCTTTTCAGTGAGAATTGACTGCTATTTATCACATGCCTTTTTAAGTTGAGGGCTGAGTGGGAGCAGTATGTTAATGAGTTTTTAAGCCTATTATACTCCATACATGCACAATATTGACTGAAAGGTGCTGATTTTATTTTATTTTCTGGTGTTTTAAGTAAGCGTGCTTGTAACTTTATGAAACTCATCATCTTTCCACTTTCATTTTGGCTAATTATGGGATCTAGTTTGAATGATTCACCAGACTTGCATTTTGCATTTAGAATTTGTTCATCTTGGCTAATTTGTTCAGTTAAAGCTTGTTCTAAAGCATTCGAAGAGTTTTATAATGGTCTTGGGACAAAAAATGGATAATGAAAAATTTATAAGATTGTTAAGAGTAAGGAAAGAAAATTAAGAAATTTTGAAACAAGTAAGGTGTACAAAGGATGAAGAGGGAAATGTTTTGGTCACAAATAATGATATTAAAGACAGATGGGAGACATACTTTTCTAAACTTTTCAATGATGATGGGAATTCGTCAATTAACTTGGAAGATTTAATAACTCCTAAAAGAGATCAAAATTTGTCATTTTATTGAAGAATACGAGCTTGAGAAGTGAGAGAAACTCTTAAAAAAATGGCAAATGGTAGAGCTAATGGATCTGATTGTATCCCTATTGAAATATGGAAATGCTTGGGTGAAGAAGGAATGTGGGGGTTAACTAAGTTATTTAATGAGATCTTACAATCCGATAAAATGCCGGACTTTTGGAGGAGAAGCACCTTAGTTCCTATTTATAAAAATAAATGAGATATTTAGAATTGTGCTAATTACAGAGGGATTAAACTTATGAGTCATACTATAAAATCATGGGAAAGAGTGATTGAGTATAGATTGAGATTGAAAATTGAAATTTTTGAGAATCAGTTCAGTTTCATGCTAGGGAGGGCGATTACAGAAGTGATTTATTTATTAAGGGAATTAATGGAAAAGTATCGATGTAAAGGTAAAGATTTATTTATGATTTCATTGATTTGGAAAAAACTTATGATCATGTACTAAGAGAAGTACTTTGGAAGGTATTGAAAAAAAAGAATGTCCGAGTTGTCTATATTCAAGCTATCCAAGACATGCATGAGGGGGCCACAACTAGTATAAAAACGCTTGGTGGCGAAACAAAAGATTTTTTTATAAATATTGGACTACATCAAGGATCATTTTTGAGTCCTTATTTGTTTGATCTAGTCTTAGATGTTTTGACTGAGCATATTCAAGAGAAAATTCCTAAATGCATGTTTTTTGCGGATGATATAGTTCTTATTGCAGAGACGAGAAGATGTTAATTGTAAACTTGAATTGTGGAGGAAGATATCGGAGTCAAAAGGTTTCTGCCTAAGTAAGAGTAAAACAGAATAGTTATATTATAATTTTGATAAGGGGTCAGTGAGTAGTAATTTGAAAGTGAAATTGGGTGATTAGACCATACCTCAAGTGGAAAAGTTTATATATTTGGGAGAGATCATTCAACAAAATGAGGAAATTGATGAAGATATTGCACATAAGATACAAGTGGGGTGGTTTAATTAGAGAAAGGTTAAAGGAATTATCTGCAATCGTAAGGTACCTGATAAGTTTAAAGGAAAGTTTTATCAAACTGTTATAGAACCAGCAATTTTATGTGATAGTGAATGTTGGGCTTTGAAGGCCTAAGAGAACACTCTTGGAAGTTGTTGAACGTGATCTCTTAATTAATAATATTTCTAAAAGCTTAATAAATGATAGAGCACAATGGCGTCTTGCAATCCATGTAGCCGACCCCACCTAGTGGGATAAAGGCTTGTTGTTGTTGTTGTTAGTGATGTTGGGCTTTAACGGGACAGCAAAAGCATAAAGTTGGAGTAGCAAAGATGAGAATGTTAAGATAGATGTGTGGATATACACGTAGAGACAATTTGAAATGAGCGAATACGGGAAAAAGTAGGCATGACACCTATTAAAGGAAAAAATGATAGAAAATCATTTGAGGTGATTCGGACATATACAAAGAAAATCACGGGAGGCACCTATGTGGAGTGTGTAATAGATAACTTTGAGTGCTGTCAAGAAGGGTAGAGGAAGACTAAAGAAAATATTTTTGGATGTTGTTGAGCAAAATCTTTTAATCAACAATATTTCTAAAAGCCTAATAAATGATAAAGCATAATAATGTCACATAATTTATGTAGTCAACCCCAACTAATGAGATAAGGCTTGTTGTTGAAAATATACATGTGTTTGTTTCTGTTATTAGGGAAAGGTCAATAATGTCTCCTTTGGAATGAACAGTAAAGTTACTTGCCCCGACTGCATCTTAAGGATGTCAAAATTATGAATTATTCTGTTTCTTGTTGGTGGTTACAGGCAAAGTTTCATATAATACAGGAGCTCCTCGGTAAATTGCATGCAACTACGGCTAATAGTCACAGGACTGTGGCTTGCCATTCGCTTCTGAAAGAACTTAATGATGAGAGGCTTAAAGCACGGACTGCAATGAGGATGATGTTTAACAGATCTTTCGGAGCAACATTTCTTACTGATTCAGGTCGAGAATCTGCTTTTGCCTATCACATTCATCAGTATGCAGATGTTTATACTAGCAAGCCAGAGAACTTTTTATTTTACTCACCTGAAGCATGGCTTCATGTTCCGTTTGATATCAAGATCATGCCTCATCATATAAAGGTAATCTATCCACACAGCTGAACAAATTATTTTATATATGCTACTAAAAATTGTGTTCTTATTTCTTAAGAAGTTGAGAAAGGAACGACCATTTGTACAATTCATTAGACAGAATAAATTTTTAATCTGCATGAACTAACAGCAATGATATTCTTATTCTGTTTACACCTGTCAACTTCATTGGACGCGATATTCATTTCATACACCTTTAAATGGCTGTGGACCTGTGGTTTTGTTCTTCTCATTGTTGGCTGATCCTGATGATACGAAAAGAGAAGAAATTTATGGCGATTGCCTTGGTGCAATATTGTTATGAATATGAAACTCAAACCTCATATCTTGTTTTCCAAATATTTTAAATAGTGAGTTAAAAATAAATGGATTTCCCTTGATACTGACAATAAATAAACAACCCTGGGAATTTTCATGATTTTTCACATGATTCTCCTACTTGACTTTTAGGTTTATTATATATTGGGGCCACTGGTTAAAATCGACTATAAATGTTTCTTCCTTTAAGGGATAGTAGTCTAACATCCTTAGTACTGAATTGGCAATTATTATTCAGAAGTCTAACCAATTCTTACTAAATTAGAACGCTATACAGGCTGCATCATGGAAACGGGACTTGAGATAAAGGGAAAAGGTGAGGAAAAGTATTTTTAATTGTTGAAAAGGTATTTGAGATGAGGCGAGATTTTTTTGTTTTTTGTTTTTTGGGTGGCGGGGTGGGATTGGACTTTTGTTGTTTTCAAGTGAACTTTTTCGTTTCCATTTTCTTTCCCATTTCTATTTTATTCCAAACAGGCTCTTGATACCTCAAAAAAATTCACGTTTGAGTTTATCTTTTATATGCCTACTAGATTGCACATTTCATAGAGTTTGTTGGTCGTCCATACCAATTGTGGCCTTTTTTTTACTTTTTTTCAAGGTCATTTTTTATTTTGGCACTTCAGCTCAATCATCTTAGAATACATTACAAGTCTCCTTCACGGTCAGTCTGTTCTGTTCATTTGGGGATCCCATATTACTGTTTGTGCCTGCGCACTTATGCTATCCCATGATTCCACTTTGGAGTTCTGTTCTGTTCATTTGGGGATTCCATTTTACTGTTTGTGCCTGCGCCTCTTATGCTATCCCATGATTCCACTTTGGAGTTCATGAATCTGTTGATTGCGAGACTTGTTAAATGCATTCATACATTTCGATACTGTTGGCTGTTGTTCCATTACTCTGTTCTTTTATTTGTCTTTAGGTTCCATCAAGTTTGTTCAGAACATGAACCAGTTTTGAAAAAGCAAAATGGCGCAGTTCCCAAGTGCTGCATCTGCTAGACACAGTTGTTGCACCAGGAACTTGCATTTTTTGTTCCTAACAGCAAATAGAGTAACACCACATAGATTTTTTGTGGAAGAGGGAATCAGAAAGGAAGCCGATACACACACAATTTGTTCTGGTATCAAAATAAGAACTTACAATTCAATTTTGTTTTAGTAAGGAACTTATGACTACGTTTGTTTATTTGTTCCGTTCCTCGAATTGCTGGAAGCTGTGTTCAAGTTTCACCATACAGTAACAAATTAATTGACACAGTTAATGACCCGACATTCTGTCTTCTATTTGTTAGTTTTTGTTATATTTTTATAAACGTCAAGTTTTCACTTTCATTACCTAATAATCGAGCTTAACATATTTAAACAATACTTGTGATGGAATCCATCGTGGGATACAATAGCCATAATTTTCTTGTCAAATGGAAACTCGTCAGAAGATGATGATAAGAAAAAGGCGGAATCTATCTATAGAGACGAGCAAAACGGCTTAAAAAGGCATGCAGGATCCTGGGTGTTTTATTAGATTAATCAAATACATGGAGCGAGCAAAACCTGCTCCCCATTTTTTAAATTATTTTAAGTTCTGAATCCTGCCTTATGCTATAAGACATTATTTTATCCTCTCTCTCAATACAAACCACAACAACAGGTTTTGCAGTCCTTCCAGCTTTAGAAAATTGTTCTCTTTCATGCTTGAAGGGCATGCTGCTGAACAAGGCCTCCTTGTGTGAGCTGCTTTTCTGCTAACATGGCAGCATGCTGCTCTAAGTATTCTCTACTGTTGATCTCTGTTAATCTGCTTATTTATAGCACACATTCAGCAGCTGCTACAATTATATGAAACTATAAATTCGATCTCACTCAGAAAAGTAAATGAACTACTACTGTTCTGTCTCTCTGGGTGATATAGTTTCCAACAAGTATCATTTATCCATTCCAAACATGCAAGAATTACATTGAGAAAGGTTGCATCTTTTGGGGACAAAAAAACCATACCAAATCTTGTCCTCTAGTCAATAAAAGACAGTATCATGTCGAGAGAAATATCATACCTACTGATGGTTCTGTCTTTTGCAAATCCCAATTCATTGTCTACACAGAGATCAGACACATCGTTTTTCCTGGATCTTGAAGAGGTCCTGGGAGCAATTTGTTTAGCCTCAGATATTGTTACTATTCTTTCAAAAAGCTCTTGAGGGCTCCCATCAGCTGAACACAACAACCTGGCCCTATTGTCGTATATCACCTGTAAACCACGATTTGCAAGGCCAGGATCTTATCTTAGTTGGCAGAAAAATGAACACATGGATGGGGAGGCAGTGCATAGGTTATTAAGCAAAATTAACAGTCAAAACAAAATATGTTTACCCTATTTCATTAACACAACACCCAGAAGAAAAAGTTAGACGGGAAAGGAACTTACATCGATTAAGGTGACAAATCTATGTGCTGCTGGCTTATTCTGAAGCCCAAAAATTGGGATGCCTTCCAATGCTAAAGTATGAAATCTCTCTATGAAAAAAATTATATATCCAGCATAAGATTTTTGGATATCTTTATGAACCGAGAAACTAAACATGGGATTTCTACATAAATGAAATCAACCAACTTTTATCGAATCCAAGACATGTCAATTTTATATTTCTCATCTGCAATACCCTACAAACGAGACATCCCAATTCTGTGTATATTTTGACCAATGCGCGCGCGCATGTGTATGAAAATCCACTCAACCAATGATGACTTACTGAATAATCCGAAATAGTCAGCAGCTCCAAGAGGTTTATCACAAAGTTCCTCAAAAGTAAAATAGGCACATCCATTGGCTCCCAGTGGAACCTGATGATTAAAGGGAAAATAGTTTCAGAAAATCTGGAAATAACAGCAGTTGTTTGCCCTGCAATAAAAAGATTGAACATACATGCAGTGTCCTTCCCATTACAACTTCCACCTCTTGGGGAGTAGCCTTTTGTTCTCCAATTAACTGTTGAAACCTTTGCCTAAGAAAGCCAGATAATTCTTGGCCAACTAAATAAAAACCTTGCTCACCCTGCAGTCAAAATTGCAGGGGAAAACATCTAGTAATTAGATATCAACACCAGAAAGAGCTGTATAAGATATACCTGTAAATGTAAAATTTTGTCATACCGAAGTCATCTTGCGATAGTCAGTTGATGAACCAATCTCGTGTGTTGCACATCTTTCCTATATTAATATATACAAAGCAATTTCATTAGAGTAGCAATAAAAATAATAAAATATACAAGCATGTGCTCATGCTCTATATTTTCTCACATAGACCAAGATATAGCCTTCTTTATAACTGCTGGTGTGAGTAAAGGTCATTTACAGAGGCTAAAACACGGAGAAATTTCAATTGACACCACCAATAGCATGGCCAAATCCTGAAATTATTTTGATATACAAGCATAATCACATTATAGTGAAGCTTAAGAACATAGCCTATATGACGCTTCACTCAACCAAGCGGAGACTAATATATACCTTTAATGTGGCAATGAATGGTAGGAAGAGATCCCTTTGCAATCCACCCTCATACAAGTTATCTGGAGCACGATTTGAAGTGGCTACTAGAATCTAAACTTGTCTCCAAGTCCATACAAAGAAATTAAATATTAAATATTGAAGTTAATTTTGCAGAAATTCTACAAAATCCTATTGTTCAGAGAGGCTACTATGTGGTTATATTACTTACAATGCCTTTGCTGAACAAATGTTTGAACAAGCGATTTAGGATCAGTGCATCTGCAACATCTGTTACCTATGCAAAATATCATATACAAAGCTCAAGTTAAGGAATCAAAATACCCCCGAAAAAAATCTCAATGTGAATCAACTGCAAAAAAATTACCATAAATTCGTCAAGACATAATAAAATTGCCTCCTCGGAAATCTCTCCTGCAACAACTTCGAGTGGATCTGACACACCCTTGTGCTTCTGTAAGGATGCAAAATAAGATGTTTGATATAAACCCTCTTTTTTTCTTCTGGTTGATCATGAATTCAGAAATTGACAGTATACTGAAAATGACTAAGGCTATTATTATATAATGCTCAGAAAGCCTTTTATGCTCGATAATATTTTTATGGTGATCTCATTAAAAATATTTTTTGCTAACATCTTTGTTCAAAATGGTTGAAAGAAGAGAAACCAAAACAAAATGAGATATATGCCACTCATGAATGATGGAAGCTTCCAGAAGTAGGCTTTAGCACTTCTAATTGCAAAAGATGCGTAGAAAATTATTGAGATTTCCCCCATGGTTGGTAAGAAAGAATTCAAATGCAATTCAGCTATGGCTTATTTACATCAAAGCAGAATCAATTATTATTGCGTTTAGAAAGCAGTTCCACATGTAACAGTATCGAGTTTATTTTAGGTAAAGGTTCTATAAACTTACTTGCAATCGGCTATGTACATTTAACATAAAGTCATGAAAATGAATCCTCTTTTTCCTCCAATTGAAAGGCCTGAGAAAGAAAAAGTTGTAAGCCGCAAAAAATGGTTAAGACAAGGTTTATCTTCATGAAACCCTCTTCCATAAAATCTCAGAAATGATCGATATTATTCCCATCTAGTTCAACATTAAAAATATGAGGATTTGGTGACATGTATGAAACCAGGTTAATCCAAAGAGAACAATCCGATATCAAACTCACAATTGATCAAAAAACAGGTCCATCAGCATAGTTTTCCCAGTCCCCACTCCTCCGTATAAGTATAAACCTTTAACTGGTGCATATGACGGTTGAAACAAGAGACGAGACCATAACCACCCGCTCCTACATAAGCAAGTTATTTTGAATGCCGATGTGTAAACATGAAGCAAAGCAGAACAAGATAAAAACTGCAAGATTCAAACTGATGTATCAAAAGGGTATGAGATAGTTACAGGAATAAATGAAAGTATACCTTACAGGTTTTTCAGAATTGCGATCCAATTGGCAGGCTTCAACAGACTCAACCAGCTCATCAAAGAGTCTCTGAAGTTCTCTCAGAGTGACTATCTGCCAAAAGAAAATGTTCATAAACACAATTAAATGAAGATAATGAAGACAAGGTGGAGCCATGGCCAAGTATATGTCATGATGATTTCATATAACATACGATCAGCATCTTATCAATAAATAAAACCAGATATGTGTATATATTTTCATATAAATAATCAAACAGAACTAAGGCTATTATCTTCCCAAGGAAATATCACCAGTTGTTTACATTCTCATTTAGAGCACAGAGAGTAGGTGGCAAAGAAAAGGAAAAGATTACTTACAATAAAAGTGAGGCAGTGCCCTCATAATGTCTACACAGTTACCTGGCAAGTGTCGCCATCTACAAGTTCACCAGCAGCAATTCTTCGTTCATACTCAACAAGAGGTCCTCCTCTGTTTACTTCTGTAACTGAAACAGCAAGTTCCAATACTCGTGAAACGAGAGAAAAGTTTCAAATCCATTCTTAGATACAAAAAAGTATGTAGAGTTGTAAACCAAGGCGATCATCATAAAGGAAAAAGGACACATAGTATGTGAGAAATCAGAAGTGAACCCCATTTAACAATGTGCCCGGGATATTTGTATGTATCTTTGGTTTGATCTACATGAGAGTTTTTTTCTTAAAAAAATGGAAAAAACAAAATAATCATAGAGATTAGAGAATAACCTCCATCTGTGAGTTTTACGGCATCAGCTGAAACAGCTCTTGAGGTTGTACATGCTTTATATCCCAGTAACTTGGTTTCAGCATGATTAACAACTCTATAAGCTGAACTATGATATGCTTTTCTAAGATAACAAGGTGCTTCTGCTCTACTATTGATCATAACACATTTTTGCCTCTGAACAGCTTGTCGTAATTGGCGGACAGATCGAGCTACGGTCCTCATCTTCAATCGCACCTTGATACCAATTTACCACAAGGAGGTCGCAGCCTACCACTCCGAGCTCCCAAAAGCAAGAGTGTTAGGAGTGGTCCGCCCTGAACTATTCAAAATCACTGCAACGAAAGACAGATAAAAAAGATTCTGTATTATAACAAACTCTCAATTACATTAAGTCAGGGATGAAGAATCCGTGGAAGGAATAACTTAATAATTGATTTGACTGCATTCGGGAAAAAAGCTTTTCATTGTAACTAAAAATGGAAGGAATCAGAATATGTAACTATTGAGACGCATAGACAGCCCGCAGAATTGATCGCGACGAAACCATGTTTCCGCATTCATTCGCTGTATGTTATTAGACTACATCGGGCGAGACCAGGGGAAAAAACAAGGAAAGGAAGAAAATTAATTCACAAATTCATCGAACCCAGGAAAACAAAAGCCCGAGTACCGTCAATTCATTCCAAATATTCGGGAACCTCAAATACAATCCGAGATATTAGGAAAATATCAAAAAGAGGGAAATTTTTATCAAAAGAAAAAATTGAAGAAAACAAGAAAAAAGAAGGACAGGGGGAACAGACATCATTATTAACAAAAAGAAAAGTTTAAAAAAAAAACGTAATGATCCGGAATGAAGAAAAATACCTCCGCCACAACTGGGAATTCATTCGTGCATGGATAAAGAGCCAATACCGTAGAAGGAGATTGATAAATAATAGTACTACTACTAGTAGTAGTAATAATAACAACAACAAAAGTGCTATAGCATATCTATCTCTAGTTCATCGCCAGAACAAGACTCACCAAGGATTCAGGAACGCCTCGAAAGAATGGGGGAAGAGAGAGAAAGAGATTTGGCTAAAAATGGTTAAAAATATCCCAGCATGCCTGCGTTTTGGGGTTTTTGGGTGTCGTGTATGACTCAGAAGTCTCGCAAGTTTTGGGAATCATGGATGCACTTTGAACCAAGAGGCAATCAGCTGACCTAGCCACCTCTAAGACTGAATTGAAGGAATTGTCAACGGCTTTTTACTTGTTTTATTATTATTATTATTATTATTATTATTATTTTCACGGAGAGACAGGACAGGCTATCACTGGTTTGACACTTTTGGACCAATTCAGAATTTTTGTTCATTGTTTTAGGATCGGGTCACCATCGCTTCTTTTTTATGGTACCCAGATTTGATATGGAGGGAATAATGTTAAATCCTGTTCTATCGTCTTATAAGAAATATACTCACAGTAATGCCAGCAATAATAATTTGGTCAAACTGAGTATGACTTTTAAATCCCTTTAACTTTTATTAAAAAGTGCCTATTAGAAAAATAAATAATAATATGAATTTATAATATAAATTACATCATTTTAATATTCTTTAAAGATTTAAAAATGTTCTTAAGATAATTCAATCAAATTTAAGAAAATATTGAAATAATATACCCAGTTTATTAAAATATATGGTACAACTTCTTTTATCTGGTGGGTGGTGACATTGTACGATGCCTTCTAATCCACTCAAATGCTTCGTATATTAATGTCACGTTTATTTAAGTATGTATTTAATTCTTTATTTTTATAAAACATTTTATTTTAATTCATTAATTTTATAAAATATATTTTTAATCTTTTAATCTTGATACTGTTAGTTGTATGCCAATAAATTTTTATATTAAATTTTAAAATATTAACAAAATATTTTTAAATATTAACATATTAAATTTAATTTTTTAAAAATAACAATAAATGATATAAAAAATAATTTAAAACTAATGATGTTGGGATTAAATAATTAAAAAAATAATTTATAGCATTAAATGATTAAATTAAAAATTTATATAAAATTAAATTAGATGACTAAAAATATATTTTAGCCTATCTTTTATAGTCTCGAAATATATATATATATATATATATTAGATCTTTAAGCGAAAAAAATCCCGTTAGTCTATCTTTGATCTTTTTAAAGTTACAATGATAGCACAGGAAAGGTAGAAAAAAATATGTTTTGATTATATTAAACTTATTTTTTAGGAAAAAATTTAGTGAGAGACCCTTGATTAAATATAATAAAAAAGAGAGCTCTTGAATTTTTAAAATTTCACTAAAAAATTCATATGAATTTTCATTTGAATTTGTGATGAAAGTGATAAAATTGCCCTCATTTAAATGAACAACATAAACAATTTGTTCATTTCCATATTATATGTTATTCATCGACTTATAAAATGTTATTTATTTTCTTACTTCACTTGTTTATAACTTTAATTTCACTCGATTTCATTCCAAACGTTGGTTTTATGATAAGACGCTTTATTTGTTCCATATTGTGTGGTGCTCATTTACTTATGAAATGTTGTTTGTTTACCTACTTCACTTGTTTATGGCCCGAGAATGAAATTAAATAAAAGTATGACTATAAAGTATAAACAGACAAAGTAGAAAAACGAACAAGATGCCTAACTAAATAAACAGCATACAGTATGTGAACGAACAAGTTGTTTTTGTTATTCATTTAAATGAGAGCAATTTTATTATTTTTATCACAAATTCAAACAAAAATTCACACAGATCATTCAAGGAAATTTTAAAAGTTCAGATGTTATCTTTTTTGTTATGCTTGGTCAAGGGCCCTCGCTTAAACTTTCCCCATTTTTTAATTATATGTAATTAATATTGTAATTGTAGTCATGATTAGAATAGAAATGTAAAATTATTATCAGCTGTTTTTAGCTTAATCATGCGCAATCCTATTAAGGGCCTGTTTGGTTGGAGGTAAATGGAGGGGAGGGGTTCCATATCTTTCATTTGGTTTAAAATTTTTGGAGGGGAGGGGAGCCAAAATTTTGGCTCCCCTCCCCTCCCCTCATTTTGGCTCCCTCCAAATTGGGGTTTTTTGGAGGTAGAGTTAAATTTGTTGACTAATTTGCCCTCCTTATTTTTATAAAATTACGATATTGCCCTTGAAACCCAATAAAAATGTTTGACTCGCAGAAGCTCGCTGGCTTTCTTTTTCTTCCACAAGCTCGGTCTGTCTCGTCCTCCAGGTCTTTTTCTCGGTCTGTCGGAGCTCTCGGTCTGTCGAAGCTCTCGCCGTTCTTCTGGTCTGCCGTGCTCGAAGCCCCGTCGTGCGTCGTCCCATCAGGTCGTCCTCTTTGAAGCTCTCACCATGCATTCCCAGGTCAGATTCTTCCTCACATTTGCTCGGTCTATCTTTTCTTTGAATCGATCTGCTTGATTTATGTTTGATTTGAGCTTCGTCCTGGTTTTCTTCTTCGTTTTTCATTCTTTTCTTTCCATTCGGACCCTGTTCTGAGATTTGTGATTGCTCTGTTTTCTTTGTCCCGTCAGATGCGTGGCTTTGATCTTTGTTCTGGTTGTTTTGTAAAAGTTGGGTCTGGTATGGGGCAATGATAGATAGAGATTTACAGGGAAATTTGTCTTCTTGGCTTCTTTGATCACAGATTGTGATCATCTCTACCTTTCGGTTTCCTTCTACGGTAATTTGGTCCATGCCCATTCATTTTTCCCTGTAAAATTTCGTGCTTTTTTTGTCTATTTAGGGCTATAAAATTGATGTTTTGATCATCGAATGAAAGCGAAGAACTTGCATTCCTGGTTTATGGTGGCATTCACTGTAGCCAATTTCAATTGATGATATCTTTCTTCGAACTCGGTGATCATATTTTTTGTTTTCTTTTCACCAGAATCGATTTCCCAGACGCTGTAAATTATACTGATCTTTGAAACTCAAAAGTTGCAAGCTTTGCATGTTAGAAGGTGTGGTTATTTAACTTTGTTTTAGCATGTATTGGGCTGGGGAGGGGTGGAGGGTCAATTGGGGATGATCCAGTTGAATGCTTTACTTTTATCTGGTCATCGCCCTTCAATTTGGTCTTGAAGAAATCCAATGTCATATTATATTTTGACGCATATATTATTAACTAGATAGAGCTGTGAGACTCTAGTGTCTTTCAAATTAAGAAGGGTCTTTACTATTTATGTTTTAGATGTGATATTGCATTGAATATTGCTAGTTCTTTTGCTTTTGTCTTGAGATTGCTAAGTTTGGAATCTATAGAGTCACATAAATCTTGTTTTCCGCTCGTACTATATATGATCATTGTTTTTTGCTGATGAAACTGAATCTTTTGCTCTTATTTATGATGTTGTGGCTTGTTTATTGATTTCCATTATTCTTCTTGATTGCTTTGTTAGATGAGCAAGAAATTTGAAAATCTTTTACTGGTGCAACATTGGTTTGAATTGCGTCGAAGAACACCAGCTCTTCTTGCTTGTGTCCTTGTAAAAGCATGTGCAAGTGACATATGTTCGAAAAAAATAAGTTATAGTTTGAGTGGCAAGAGAGAAATGGTACGTGATGAAATAATGAACCGAATTAGTGATTGTCCCTCTAGTCGAAATATCATTAGAATGACTCCTAGAACTTTTTTAGAATTATGTGGTATGTTAGAAAGAGAGGCTGGCCTGCAACCTACGTGATGGTCAAGTGTGGAAGAAATGGTTGCAAAAACTCTATATATATTGACGTACAATGCAAAAAATCATGAAGTGAATTTTTAGTTTAGGCGTTCTGGTGAGACAATTAGTCGTCATTTTCATCAAGTTTTGACAGCTATCATTGACTTAGAAGAAAAATTTCTTGTTCAACCTAATGGCTCAACCATCCTTCCTGAAATTAAAAAAGATAAGAAATTCTTCCCATATTTTAAGGATTGTGTTGGTGCTATTGATGGAACACATATACGAGTCAAGGTGCCTTCTTTAGATGCTCCTAGATACCGTGGTAGGAAGGAATTTCCGACACAGAACGTCTTAGCAACATGTACCTTTGATCTAAAGTTCACTTATGTGCTCCCTGGATGGGAAGGTACTGCATCTGACTCAAGAATCATTAAAAATGCATTAACACGAGAAGATAAGCTTATAATTCCTGAAGGTAAATATTTTACCAATTTGATAAAGTTTTTATTTGTGAATGTAAAATTATTATAGTAATTATTTTCCTTTATGATAGGTAAATATTACCTTGTCGATGCTGGATTCATGTTAACAAGAGGACTTGTAACACCTTACCGAGGAGTCCGTTATCATTTGAAAGAATATTCAAAACGGAATCCCCCCCTAAATTATAGAGAGTTATTTAACCTTCGACATGCAAAATTACGCAATGCCATTGAACGTGCTTTTGGTGTTTTGAAAAAAAGATTTTCCATTCTATCCAATGCAACTGAACCTACATATGGAATTAAAGCACAAAACATGATAATATATGTATGTTGCATTCTTCATAACTTCCTTGTGAGTATGGACCCTATTAAAGATCTTTTAGAGGAAGTTGATGCTGTTCTTACAAGAGAAAACCATTCAAATGATAATAACCGTGCTCAAAGAGGGGACAATAATGAGGCTGCTCGAGGTGAACTTCTTAGAGAAAATATAGCCAATCAGATGTGGGCAGATTATCAGGAACATCTGGCTACTCTTGAGAATGAACTTAATGATTGAATTTTGATTTTCTCAATAAGTTAGACTCCATTATATCATTATAGACATTTAAATATGTTGTATTATTACATTGACTTATATTGACTTTAATTGAGGTTCAGTTTGCTATTGAAATTTGATTAGCTTTTCATATTGGGATTGGTATTATGTGATTATATTGTTATGTGATAGGATGGCACCAAACAATAATAAGGAGATTGTGAACTGGACAAGATTAATGGATGATGCCCTTGTTGATGCTTTCATGAATGAATATAATGATGGTCACAAAGTTAATGGCACTTTTACAACTACAGCTTATGATAATATATGTAAATATTTGAGTGCTTTATTCGGTAAACAAATTGACAAGGAAAAGGTGAAAAATCGATGGAAGACTTTAAAGAGAAACTTTTCAGATGTTTATGATATTTTCAAAAGTTTGAGTGGGTTTGCTTGGAATCCAATAACTCAAGTATGGGATGCTGAGCCTGAAGTTTTGGATGCATTAATTGAGGTAAATTTCTTACATATGCATTGATTATATTATTATTTGAAAATGAAAAAGTGTGCATTTGCAATTGAATTGCTTTTGTAATTTCACTTGTTTCAGGCTAAACCTAAAGCAGCATTGTGGAGAACTACTCCTTTTTCCAAACTATGAAAAAATGATGATATTATATGGAGTAGATAGAGCTAATGGAGATGAGAGTGAGACAGCCCGTGAGTGGAGAAAGAAGCATCGTTCTCAGGAAGAAGTCACTGAAACCGTCAATGACATTAATAATATTGTTTCACAAAATAGAGCCACAATTAATGTTGAGCTTGATGGACAAGAAATCTCACCAGGACAAGAAAACTCACCTAACTAAAAGCACTCACCCACTATGAATAGTGCATGTAGTAAGAAGACAAAGAGGGTGTCTAAGGAGAAGGAGCCTAGTCTAAATGAGTTGACAAGAGCGGTGTTAGCCGTGGCTGAGGCAATTCAACAAGAAAATGTGATGATAGGACAAAGTTTCAAGAAGGTGCCACAATTGTCAGGTGAAGAATTTTGAAAAATGCTTGAAGAGTGTGGGATTGATGCTGCAAGATTACCTGACATATATTGGTTTCTTATGGCTGATAATGATAGGCTTAGAGCAGCAACTCAATGTCCAGCACCAGTACGGAAGGATGTGATAATGAGGATGTTTTATAGTTCTAATTAAATGATGACTTTTATTGATAATTTTTGTATATTTTGTTAGCTAGATGTCAAAATATGGTTCTTAAGCATGATCAATATATTAGATGCTATTGCCCAATATATTTTGTTATTAATGATGACGATTGTTGCTCAATTATTATTAAGGACTAGCATTGTCTTGTGCAATTATTGAGGGTATATAATCATTAGTTTCATTGATTTTTTCGCAAAATATTGTTTAATATTTAGATTAATTTACTAATAAGATTATTTAATAGTATTATTTAATTTACTTATTTGGGGTGATGAAGTAAAAAAAAATTAACAAGATTAGGGTAATTTAAAAAAAATTATATAATTTGAGTTTATATGTAAAATAGATTTGTGTGATAAAATGTTAAAAAAATATATTATTGTACAAGGGTATAATGGTAATTTAATTATTACCTCCCCTCTCCTCCCCTCCTAAACCAAACAAAGGATCATTAAAAACCCCTCCCCTCCCCTCCTTTCTAATCAAACCAAATAAGGTATCTTAAAATCCCTCCCTTCCATCCCCTTCCCTCCCCTCAAACCAAACATAGCCTAAAGCGTTATGATGTGATTAAAATTTCATGCTTCTATAACACCACTTGAGTTTAACGATGACAAGACTGATTTCTTGCAGTGCTTGGTATTTTTCTACAAAACTCTTATTATGTATTGACTTAATTTTAGGACCAAAACTATATGTATTTTCCAGTGTTTTTTTTTAGTTTGAATGTTTTTAGACGAGTAATAGTAAAAATTATAGTTTATATATAGTGAGATTTATTATAGATTCTGCATTTTGTTTATAGTGAATTACATTTACATTGAATATTGATGCATTAAACAGTAACGTGTTTGTTCCTATGAACGAATTAATGTGTTTGTTATCAAAATGGTTTTTTTTTTTTTGCCAGAAGTTATCAAAATGGTTTGGGTGTAGGAAAAGATGTTCTCAACATGGTGAAGCAGTATTTAAATTTTTGTTTGGATAAATATTCATATTTTAGTATCTCATCATGTCTTAAATAGAATTATCTTCAATAAATATACACCAATGCACAATAAAAAAAATTAATGTGTTTATTAACTAGACTTTTGATATATTATGTATTTATCATAATATTTTTAAATTAATACTCCATTCATTATAAATAATAAGATAATTTGAGATGAAATTGTGCATAATAATAAAACTCAATAATGACCTTTTATGAACTTATTTTTTTTAAAAAAATATCACTTTCATAAATTCCATTCACTTAATATAATTTTAAATTCACATATACTTAATCATTACATTACAATAATTTAGTTCTCTTTTCTTATATCATTGAAAAAACATCACTAATAAAATCTTCTTTTGATTAAATTGTCTTGTATTTTAAGATAATAAAATATTTCTAAAATAGTTTTATAGTTCGGGACGAAAGTAGTGCATCATCACCATATATTTTACAAACTAAATCATGTTAATTACAATTTAATATCATATTTGAATTACAAAATTTAATAATAAAAATATAAAAATTACATAGGACATTTTCTCAATCATTATTTTACTCTATTTGTTAATGCATTTTATCACTCAATTTTTAATTAATTTATTTCCGGCATTTTGTACAAATAAAGAGGAGGAAATTTGATTAAACAAACGGATTTTTTATTTGGAAAAATGTGCATATAATGTGGTAATCTACTACAGAAGCAATTTCGTACTAGGGGAGATTCCCGAGTAATATTTTGTCCCCATGTGATGCTCGTCTTGTTTTCAGTTTTACTTTATATATTATTTGGCGCAAACTTGAACATGCATTTTTTTTTCCTGCCTACATTTTTTTTCAAAAAATACTAGTCTCAATGTTTTGTTGTTTAAATGCCATTTGAATTTTAATTGAATATAATAAATTATAAAAATAATTAATTATGTAGTAAATTTTAATTATAATTAATTATGTTATAACATAATTTATTTGGATACTTTTTTTTAAAAATTAATTTTAACAAAATTAAAGATGTTTGGATAATTTAATCAAGATTAATTTTAACTATATAAATTACTATATAATTTAATTTTTAAATACTAAATATTAAATTTGAGGATATAAAATTTAAATTTTATTAAAAAAAGAGAGAGAAGAGAGAAAAGAGAAAAGAGTTTGATTTTATTAAATTATGTACTTTTTTATAATTTTTTCATGAGCCTTTCTTTATAATTATTTTTTATGTTTTTTTATAAACTTTTCAGCAAAAACTTGGATTGGCAGCTTCAGAAAAAAATTAATTTTCACCCCACAAATCGATTAGCCAAAAAAACTGGTGTTTGAGTAATTGAAGTCAAAATCAATTTTTTTAGAAAAAAAATTGATTAATATGACTATCTAAGCACACATTATATGTGAATCATCATTTAGTTTCTAAAAAGACGAGTTGGATACTTGTTACTCTCTCCCTTTCTATTCACTGGAGAAAATTTGGAAATGATTAATTTTTAATGATGAGTATTTAATACTTTTGGCAATATTTTGAATATAGTTGTTTTTCCAATTTCCACCATGTTTAATATAAGTAACTTTTAATATGTTCCATCAAAATTTAAAAAAATTAAATTTATTAATTTTATTTAAAAATTCAATAAATTTCAAGCTTTAACCAAGATAGTTAACCATATTTAAATTTATTTTTTTTAATGATTCATAAGCATTCTTTTATTGAAAACTATTTCTTTTGATAAAAATTTAAATTTGGATTCATTTTGAGTACCTGCTGCCTTTTGGAATACCCAACCCAACCCTGTCAGTTAAACTTACTGTTTGCTTTAAACAAAAAACAAAAAAAAATACAAAACTTGAAGCCACGATAAGGTTGACGATGGCCGAAAAGCCCATTGTAAACTTGGTTCCCTAGTTTCTTAGTTTTCTGTGAAGCCCAATACCTTAGTCTAGTCCTGTCGGCCCAAAATGAAATCCGTTTTTTTTTTTTTTCCTTTGCCATCAATCGATTAAATTAGAACTTAGAAGGAGCATGGTCTCCTGCGTCTCTGACTGGGAAGTCCCCATTGTTGAGGTAGCTGAGATTCGTGGTTTGTTCAAATTCAGGCGGGGCTTCGTTGATACAGAGGCAGATATGGCGAATCAGGGGGCCAAGAAACGCAAGGAAGAGAACGCTCGCCACATGGCTAGGCTTCGCTTCATCATTATTGCCTGCAATGTATGCTTCCTGATGGTTTCACATGCCTCATTTCCTCTTTCTCAATCAGTATCTATGTTTAGCCATCCGGTAGAGCGGGGAAATTGGATTTTTTTTTCCCTTTTGGCGACAAATTGGAATTTATTCCCTTGCGCTGTAGGTAGTTGTTTTTGCCCCTTGCTAGGGTTCTTCTTGGATGTGATATTTCTGTATTCTGTTGGATCAAAGATTTTTTTTCTCCTTTAATTATCCTTCCCCCCTGATTACTACTTTCGCAACCCAGAAGAGCATCCTGATAATTTGCTTGTATAACTTCAGGTTAAGGGTGGTGTACACTGCGAAAAACTTGTGTTCTCCAGGCTTTTTTTACCACCCTCTACTCATTTGTGAAGCTTACCAAGCTTATCCTTTTATTTTATCAATAATTTATCTAAAACATATTTTGATTCCACCAAGGAAAAAGCATGTATGCATGTATGTCTGAAAATAACTCTACGAGTTTATTCTGCCAACTGTCAGCTCTGTATTCAGTGTTTTCGAAGACAGGTGGTGAACTTCTGAGCCCTTTCGTGGGGTTGTTATCCACTGAAGACCTTTGGGGGTAATGTATGTATGGTTTCTGAGATATATGCTTCCTACTGAGTTTTAATAACCCATATTGACGAGCTGAGTGATAAATTTAACGTGTCTTACAAGGGGCCTAGACATGTTGATTCATACTTAGTATAGAATTATGAGCATCTCAAATGAACGCGAACGAGTTCCTTTCTCCCCAAATTTAGTTACGAGTACTAGTATATTAATACTTGACAATCTAGCCTTTTTTATTTGCTGACTTAAATCGTTCCTTCCATTCTCTACTTTGCTTTTAAGTAGGCTATCTATGTCTTGATAAGGATGTTGGTCTTCCATTCGTCTTTCACCTGGAAGCATTGGATTGGCCTGGTTGTGACATCTCTAGCATATTTCATTCCCTATCAACAACTTGCTAAAATGGCAAAGCCTTCATATGCTGATGATGGTGAGCTTTTAGATGGTGGGTTTGATATGAGTACTGGTGGAGTTTGTGGGTATGTCTTTGTCTTGTTTATATTATTATGATTTTTTGAGTATTTTATTAGTTGTGTGCCGATCATTGGATGAATAACATTGTCAGCATCTCTCATCAATGACGATTTCCACTCATAACCTTGTCAGTATTTTATTAGTTCTTCATTGTTTGATGGTCCTTTTGTTGCAACCACTGAGTCTGTGTCATCAGGTTTCAACCTCAAGTAATAAATGTTCCGATTACCATCTTCTTTTCAAATTCAGTTGATATCATAGGCCTAGAGAATTCCTCTTATTTTTGCTCTCTTAGTTTCATGTTGGAGCCTTACTTTTGATCAATCCTTTGCAGCTATTTACATGATGTGATCTATATTACATGCTTTGTGCAAGTCATGTCCATCATCTCTGGAAAATTCTGGTACACATATCTTGTGGTAAGATCCTTAATTTGCTCATAAGCCATTGATCGGCTATATTGGTACTTTAAGCATCCTGATGGCAATGTAGGGCCGTTATAATTTTAACTGCAAACCTCATCAAACATGACCATCGTGTCTATGTTAAGTAGAAGATAGCTGCATCTGAAATTGATAGTCACGTTGTAGTGAGATAAGGGTTTAACTATTATAAATACATTCTAAATTCAATTCTAAAGTCGGTATACCAGAGGGAAGCTAGCTTAAAGTTGGTCGGGATCACTAAAGGGAGGGGTTAACAGAATAGTGCCAGATTTATTTACTAATCCAGTCATTGAACTAAGGTGACACCAAAGCACTGTCCCAAAATTGTATTATTCTTGTGTTCTGTGCAGATTCTATGTCTTGCGGTATTAATCAGAGGTCTTAGGAAACTATTGAATTTTGAAAAATTTTTTAGGGCCCAAATCTATGTCGTTTACTTCTAGAAGTAACAGCTTCAATGAAAGAATACATTTGACACCATAAAAGTGAAATCAACTTAAGGTTAAGCATGTTTATTTGATATATGAATTATAACTTGATGTTTGATGTCTGATGGGGAAATCTTCATTTTTCCGTGATCCACAATTCACTCCAATTTTAAGGAGCTATGGGCTTGTTTGGTTGTTAGAAAGCATGAGAATGAAATGAATTAAAAAAATTAAATCAAAAATGAGCTGAATTACCTTCTCACAGTGAGCGTAATAAAACTAAATACTACATATTGTAAGTGTGGGAGTCACCACTCTCATCAAAATCATGAAAAATCATGAATTATAACTCCCAACTTTATGAATTAAATTACTTTTCTTCCTTATAAATATAATTGATTTCTCTCTCCCTCCACATTTTGATTATTGTATTTTTGCCTTTATTTTTTTTTTAAATAGATTCCATTTCTATCTTTTCTAGCAACCAAATTGGGACCCATATATCACTTGATAAAACTACTGCAAGTGCATTTCAGTGAAGCTACTATCTGTAATGAGCATATTGAAAGGTGAGGTGTAGTCAGTAACATACGTATTCGTATATTGAATCTTGTAGATACCTGCTTTTGGAATATATCAATCCTTTGGCTTGATTAAAGGATTTCTGTCATCAGGTTCAGGGGTAAGTGTTCTTCCTTAATTGAGTTCCACTTTTAAGACCACCAAATCAAATTTACTTCAATCGCGTGCATTTTTTGAGTCAGGAATCATTTGAAGATGAAAAGACCCGTAAGAAGAGAGAAAAGATAGAGAAGAAGGCGTCCAGAGCCAAGTTTGTCAAGACAAGAACTAGATAGTTTGTTTGCATGGCTTGGAAAGTAGATGGACAGCCTAATCTTAAGAGGCCAACGTGTAAGCTGCGGGAACAACTGTCAACCAAGTCGATCAAATGACTTGAAACGTTGTGGACGTTAAATGCTGTTGAACATGAAACTTCGAGGGATGTTAGAATCACTAAAACATGAAAATTCATATAATCAAATATATTGTTTCTTGACAATAAATAAACTTGATCTGAGTCCACATCTAGTTACATACATTTCCCCGTGTACTTCAGATTTTCCTTCACACTACAGATTCATGTTTGGAGACGACGAAGCTTAAAGTTTTAGTGTAGCTGTAGCATTCAACTGGATAAGCAGTTCAGTCATGAGCTTCAGGACTTGTCCTTATCCAAGGTCACTGTCAATAGATTGAATTCACGTCCTAAAGTCCAAGACAATTCATTCTGAGCGTCAATGCTTACGTTGTATTCCTGGAAGTAGCCGTTGTAAGTTATTATAGACACAATGGCCCTGGAAAATTTCAAAGACAGAGACAACTTTAGCAAACAGATATCAGAAAATTAGTGGACTTTTGACATGGCAAAAAGTAAACAGAGCATTCTGAAAGGGTATTCCATAGATTCTTAATGCGGTGTTCTCATACATAGGAAAAAAAAAAAGTGCTGCATATCTTTTAATAAACTGCATGCCAAGTTCCTGCAATGGTATTTTAGTTCTTATTATAATAAACGAGACTTATTAGGTTACAGCTACTAGCAATCAGTTTAAAGCTTCATCACCATGGACTCGCTGAATTAAAGACGACGAAGCTGAAGGAAACACTCACCTACAAGCTAGAACTCCAGATGTTGAGGTGTCAGTGACATTTTCAACCTTGCGAATTATTGCATAGCTGCAGAGCAAAAACCATAATTTAAAAAATAAGCACATTTTCATCCATACAGTTGTAATCTAAGAAACCCTCATCCAAATGTAGACTAATAAACACCTCCAGAATGTAATGTAAGCTTTCGAGATAATAAAAATAAGAATATACAATTTAGTTTCCCCTATCATGCTCATTCTTCCGCCCCAGTTCTTTCTTTGCGACTCTTTACTTTACTCTCACACCATCTTACAACAAAGCAATTTTTTTGGGCAATGATCAATATATTGAATTAAAACTAACGGTACAAAAAAGGTGGCCATTCATGCAAAATTTGCAAAAGGTGAGAGGCCATCATTAAAACGGGAAATAAAAACATTAAGGAATCAACTACCACGAAGGGCAAGATCCCCATGAGGACAATGCCATCATTTAAAATATTAAAATATTTCCATAATGGTCAATTAAGGCATACACTACTTCAACATGTGGAGTTGCCAAATTTAAATAACCCAAGTTTAAGAATTTCTAATAAGCCAACAACTTAGCCACAAAATAATTCACCTTCTGACCCCAGCAGGAACAGCATTATGAAGTATGTGATGATCAGCAGGATCCAAAGCATCCGTTACTGCACCAGGAATAATTGATCCAAGGAAACCACTTGATCTCCTGGTTCTGCAGAAAGCACCAAATATGTATCAGATACTGATGGAGACTTGGTAGTATGGGATACCAAGTCCCACATTGAGTAGTATGGGATGCTCAATGGGGTATATAAGTGGGTTGGTTCTCCCATTTCAACAGCTAGCTTTTGAGGTAGGGTTCCCATCCTACTTAGGCACCTATCAATTGGTATCAGAGCCTCATTGTCGGTAGTTCCGAAAAGGGCTACCTACAGAGGGTTCTGACCAGAAGGAGACCGAGTTAAGTGCTATGGAGTGTAACCGTCGGGATGTCGACTTTCCATGAGGGGCCAATTGATGGAGACTTGGCAGTATGGGATATTAAGTCCCACACTGAGTAGTATGGGAGGCTAAATGGGGTATATAAGTGAGTTGGTTCTCCCACTTCAATAGCTAGCTTTTGAGGTAGGGTTCTCCATCCTACTCAGGTACCTATCAGATACCTCCAAATCCAATTTAGAGAAAATGTTCAAAAGAACATTAGATTCCTTGTGAGTGTCAAAGATTTGGTGAAACAAGCTTTATGAAAGAACAAAGTTGGGTTTTATTCATGTCATAAATAAAGCTAAAATCACTTTCCTAGGGGCTTGTACAAAAAGATCCAGAAGGAAATAAAAGATCAAAAAATATTTAATTTCTATTCTGACCTTTGATGTGCAGAAAATCCAAGAGTGAAAAGATGAACGGAACCAGAAGAACTTGAAGCTGCAAGAATATCTGGAAGGTGCTTTGATGGCCCAAATGACAGAGAAAATATAGTAGACGGATATGTTCCCCTTCGAAAGCTATATGACTGCAGAGACAATAGTCAGATTCTACAACTGCTTGGTTCATTGTCTATCAAATGCTGGAAACTTCTCATTAAGGAATAAAGTTTTGTAAAGGAAGATTTAAAATAGATCAAGAAATCAGTAAGAATATCATGACGTTTACCAAAATCAAATCCAAATGTATTATAAGTTCTTAAAAGTTCTCTTTGCTTTGCATCAACAGTATTTTGAACCTAGTAAAAGACGAAAAATGAGACTGAAGACTATTCAGCTCATGAAATGTATTGGAATACATCCCAATAGATAAGTTGACGGGAAAAGACATTTCTTGAGAGGGATCCCAACCAGTAAGTGGATGAGCATTGTAATAGTTGAACCAACATATTTGGGATGGACTCAAGGACAATTATCTGACTGCACAATTTGGTCATGAAAGTGACAGAATTTGCAACTTCATTTGACATACAGGAAATGCTAGCTAATAGAATAAACACCCTCCTATAATTTTAACACAAGGAGATTCATTCTCCACCTTTGTTGCATCTGACACCAAATGAACTCTGACCATGGTTCCTTGCTCAGATGCTGTAGCTATATACACTCCATTAGAAGAAAGGACCATTGCAGCCAGTGGTGCACGATGAGCCTCAATCTGCAACACAGGTTCAATAATAATGTATCTGAAAGAAAATAAAGTACAAACAAAGGCACATTACTTCATTTGTAGTACTAAGACAAGTGGAGGCAACCAAATCCTTGTGTACTATCACCAAGGGATAAAATAATGAAAAATTACACTCATTGATCTGAACTTCAAATTCTTTTCTCTCCTCTATCATTCTATTGGCCCCTGAAACAAGGGAATCCCATGCATCAAGCAGGAATTTTGAGGCACCCTACCATTTGACCGACTAAAAATCAATATCTGAAATTTTAACAGAAACAAAGCTCTTTTTTTAAATAAAACCAAACTGATTTCAAGAAGGCAGCAGATAAATATTAAAGAAATAGAATTGATTTAATATTGCACAATTAAATACAGTGATGGAAATACGATAAAGACTTCACAAAGTAAGATATACATTATAATTATTTTGTGGCTACAAGACACATAAGCTCAAAGATTAAGAAAACTGACTCTTATTGTAGTAATAAAAAATTGTACTACACAATTAAGAAAGAAAAATTTAATTCATAACCTCACAGTGTAAGTGACGATCCATGACATTATATAACAATGCAGATCCCTTGGTAGTGCTAGCAGGAAGGGCCAAGTAGCAAGCTTCTAAACAAGGGGAAAAAGCACATAGCCCTGTGGAGAAAAATGTATCAGAATAGCAGATCGGCAGATGCTGAATATAGAAACTCATGCAGGAAATGTTATTGTTCACGTAAGCAAAAAATAGAAAATGTAATTGCTCATATCTTAAATCTCATGACTATCACAAATTCTCCTCATTGAATAAAATACGATGATATGTACCAGTTCCAACCTCACCTTTAATATTTGGCACAGAGACAATAGTGTCCAAGATCGTGAGACTATTTAAGTCATATATATATGCTTTGTCTTGTAAAACGACAATGAGTCTGCATTACACATTTGCATATAAGATCAGAGAGGGAGGTTATTTTAATGATAAAATAATTATGCCAACAGTACCAGATTCTGGATATTTCCTTAAAAATATTGTCAACAAGGAAACTTCCATGAATCAAACAGGCATTATCTAGCATGTAAATTACAAGTCCAGTTGCCTAGTACTTTGATTTTAAATTTCACAAGTGTGTTTGACCATCTAGAGAGAGGAAACAATAAATTATCAAATAAGCAAATAGGCCAAAAGAAATATTCTTTAAATTTCCTGAGCAGTCAACAAAATCATCTTTCAAATGATAATACTAAGTCTCATAAGGCATCTTAACTTATTCCTACTTCATGGATCTTTTCTTACAGAAGAAATTTCAAGGCAAACAGGATAATGCAAGCCCCTCAAAAAATGTTGACAGAAAATAGTTATAAAAATGACAAAACATACAAGCCCTAACCATTTGTCTTAAACCAATGGCATTGATGCCCTAAAATATCCCTAAGGTACCAGTTCTTTGTCTCTAAACAAGAAAAAACAGCAGCAAAACTAATCAATGATGAACTCATAAAACAAAAAATAAATATACATCTTTAACTGACATTTTTTTGTTCATGCGAACAGCAAGTATTGAGGTCAGAAAGTTCAAATCTCTAAGAGCAGTTCCTGTCTTAGTGTTGAATAAACAGAGTCGGCGTGGGGACAAAGATGGCTGTATGAGTCAAATAAATAGTCAGATAATAATCCAAAAGAGACAGCCTTAACAAAGTCCAATGCCAGCTGAGAAATGTAAAAAAATTGCTCACACCTGTTCACCAGCACCAACAATTGCAAGAAGACTTGAGCTAAATAACATTTCAACAATACTGAAAGCTCCAAGAACTAAGGGAAAAATAAAAAAGGGAATGAGACTGAGGCAAATAAAATTTAGAAACATGATGATGAAAACGAGAAAAAGGAAATTGAAAACTAATTTATACATAACATAAAAATTCTAACAAACCGCACTATTCATAAGCTATGAACAAAATGTTTCATTTTTCAGACTCGGTGTAACTTGAGACCCACACCAGTTATTGACAAAAATGCTAAAGATCTCAACCATTTGATATTGCAAAAAAAAAAAAAAAAAACACACACACACACACACAAAAGCACTGTCTTATGCATCCTCTTGCCATTTGTGTTAGTTTCTGTAAGCTTAGCGATTTGTTGCATTATATAGACTGCTCTTCAGCAGCCTTCTCTTTCTATTTATGGGGTGTTACCCGCTTTGTTCCTTATTGTAATTAGCTTGTTATCAATCCAAATAATTGAAATATCCACAATCAATTGGTAAAAGATTACGGTCATTTACTAGACCACAGCTTGTTAGTTCTCTGACAAAGCCCTGTTATTTTCCTAAGACATATCAGAGGAAGTCAAAGGGGAAGAATGACTCTAGTAGAACTATGTTGACTGGTCCAGAGGCTTATCCTTTGGTCCCTAACCGTGAGGAACAGTAACTTGTGATCTTTTGCCATGATTAAGATCTTCTAGGTAGTATGGGCTGTGGGGAAAGCCATGCTGTGAGTTTTATTAGTCTTTTGCTTGTGTTGAGGGGGTATGTCTTTTGTGGGAGAATTGAGGAGAGACTAGCCTCTCAAACGCTAGAAGGAGTGGAACCTCTTATTTTGATGTTTGTAATCTGTGTTGCTGGTACTATTTTGATCATTCAGGGGAGATAGGGTTTTGGCTAGAATCAGAGAATGTCTTTGTAACTCCGATTCGGTTTTCTCAATTCATTAATATCAAAACCTCAGCATTTTCCCCTCTTATTTATTGCCTTTACTGTATTTTATTGCTGTTCTTGCTGTGATACTGGTTTGGGCCCCATTATTCTCAAAAAAACATATATATAAAATCACGAGAATACTAGAGGGTAACGCATGATCGAACTTACCTCTTTCATAACAGAGTCTTCCTGTATTCGTATCGAATATTCTGAAACCATCCTTCGTGCCAATGGTAAAGCAACTGAAAACTCAAACCAGAACAACATAATTCAAAGAGAGAGAACTCAAATGCTTCTCCTCACAATAACTCGAGAAAAGTGATTAAAAAAATTAAACTTTAAAAGTTGGACAACATGAGCCCCCCCTTTAATCGTTAAAATAACTTCAAAACGGGATAAGCATAGAAATGTTCAAAGACAGACCGAATTTCCCAGGACAGAATTTCCAGTAAACCAACAGAAACGAAAGGAATTGATTAATAGTGGAATTTACCTATAATCCTGATTAAAAGAGGCGCAAAGGATAGGCGAGGAAGATGACTGAGTAGCCATTAGAAATTTAGAATTCACATAGTACTTGGCTTCTCAGAATTGGTGGCGGCAGATGGCTGTCGCCGTGAAAGTTTCGATTTTTCGGAAATTTGTAGAGTCAGGTCCACCAACCTATCAAGGACTCTGAAACCCGCCAACGTGTCATTATATGTAGTTTTCTAAGATCTACATTCTAAAAATTTTATTATTATTATGGAGCTAGAAAAAATATATGAGAGATCTAAAATGAAAAAAATAAAATTAGTAAAATAAAATAAGATTGGAAAGAAAGGAATAATAATATTCATTTTTTATAGGTATCTTCAGACTCTAATGTATAGTACATGACCATTATTTATAGGCTTAAATCTCACTCAAAATTTATAATTATTTGAATAATAAGTTTAATTCACATCAATATATAATATGTAACCTTTAAAATTTATGAGTATTAAACAAGAAAAAAATTCTTAAAGCCATTCATTGGAGAGGTTATAGAATGTGGGATATGAAAGGTTAAGAGTTAGGAAAGTTTATGAATATCCACACAATATAATATTTTAACATTTATTTCTTTTTTAAGGTTAAAAATGCATATATTGTGTGTATTTGATTTTCAATTTATATTTAATAAAAATAAATTTAAGAGATCCAACTATTTATTAAATTTGACAAACACTCATTTCAAACATAATTTCAATGTGCTTTTGAGGGTTTCCCAAACAAACATTTTATCTTTAGCTCTTTCAAATATTATATTGTGCTTGATATCAGAAATAGAAAAATGAAATGATTTTTGGCCTTGAAAAATGAGATGATATGATCGACAGTTTTTTTCTTTTTTTTTTTTTTTGCCAAAGAGGTGATATGTTTGATGTTGTTGATGCTGTTTTTTTGCTCTCCCTATATATATATATACACATATATCATTTACACTTTGTCACAACTCTCACATTGAAGAAACTCACAAGTGATATAGGATTTATAAATTTAAGGTTCTCTCACCAAACAAGGCTAATCTTTTAAATAGGCTCTTCTTTTAGACTTGTACTTATCACATTGATACTTTTATTGAGAGACTGGTGTCGGATTCTGACTAACAAAAGGTCGAGTGAAGTGCTGTGGAGTGAAGATGTTAAGACGTCAGCTCTTGATAGAATGCCATTATCACGAGTCCCACATCAAAAGACTTTACAAGTGGTGTGAAATTTATAAATTCAAGAGACTTTCCCACCCAATGACTAGTATTTTGAGATGAACTTTTTCTTTGAGCTTGTCCTTGTCACACACTTTAGCAACTATAATATATTATTAGTATATAATATAAAATTTACAAAAATACTATCCTGATCTAATACAAGTCACCTTGAAAAGAATCGATAATCTTTATAATAAATCACTTTGTGGATCATTACTCACTTTTTTAATTTTATCATTTCACAATTATTTATGTTGTGTAAGAGAGAGAGAATATTTTCAAAAATAGGCCAATAGTAAGAGTAAATTAAATTTTTTCCCTTTTTCAAATAACATTAATATATTTAACTATTTGATAAATACTTAAATAGACTGTGTGCATTACATTATTTATGACCTATTCAATTAAAGTATTCCAAGTAATTTAAATAAAATTTTATGTAATATTTTTAAATTAATTTTATTTTTATAATAGAATGTACATTTAATTTCTTATATTTTACCTTTTATATCATCATTAATCTCAGAATTAATTTATATTTAATGTCATAAAATGTCATGTTTTTATTGAATTAACTACAAATGACACACCCGATCTCTTAATTATCTTGCATTGATTCCTCCGAGGTAATTAGAAATGACTTTTATATAATATCAAAGGATCAAGCATTATCTATGAAACCCCAAGTCCCGTAAGTTGACAAATTCAGAAGTTAATGTTGGTACTTGGCATTTAACGTTCCGGCCAAATGACGACGGCGGCGGCACGTAACATTCAAATGGAGAATATATATATATATATATATATATATAAGGAGAGCTGCATCTTCTGAGAGCAATATGTGTGTATGCGGATATGAAAGTGCAAATTCCTGAGTCCTGACGGCTTGAGAAAGAAATTATTGGATCACTTGGCGACAAACTTGCTTTAGGTTGAGATGAGTCAGGATTCAGGAATCCTTGTCAATCTGCAGGTTCACTGTTATTTTATAGATTTGCTTTTGTTTCCTTTCTACAAATTTGTTTCCATTAAATCAACATTTTCAAATCAATCGTGCGAATAGTTTGCTTTTGCTACACTTGTACTTCTGATTTCGTGGTTTGCATTTTGGATTATATCAGATTGCAGATAATAGAAGGCAATAATAGCAGCGTAGCAAAACAGTACAAGACAATTTTGAGGTTAAAAAAGAAAATGTTGTGAGAAATCACCATACAAAAGTAAACTGTGAAAAGAAGCTCACTGAGGAAAAAGCAGTGCGCGTGACCTGCAAAAGCATCAGATAGAAAATGACCTCTTTCACAGCAACCTTCTTCAATCCTCTCCTTGCTTTCAACATCAACTTCAACAACATCCCACAAGACCAGAGTCCAGACATAGTAAAGTCCATTGCTTTCTTCTCTCAAACCAGTCAATACCAAACCCTGGAACTGCAAGAGAGACACCCTCTGATAATGATGATGATTATGTTCTTGAGAGCAAAGAATCTCATGATATTCTTTCCCTCCTGCTTCATGGAGATGTACGACTGTACAACCAGTAAAACACTTGAAAAGAGAAGTTTCATGGGTCCAACACTTGTCAGACACTAAGATATGACCAGACTCTATATCATTAGACAATCCCAAAACCATAAAATAGTATGATAAGTATGTACATAATGATGTCCAAGAAAAAGAAGCTGATGTACCTTGCTTTAATTAAAGAATTGTGATTATGGAAAAAAAAAAAATAATCCTCCCTCCTTCCTTTTTCTTCTTTTTTCCCCCTTTCTTTTGGTTCTTTCTCTAATTTCTCTCCATTATCTGTTTACCTAGGACCAGAGAGTTCCATGGCATAGGAATCCAAAGAGTGTTCATCATCATCATCAGCATCCAGTCCCATGCCAAACATGCTGGGACGACGATCATGAGCATCATCATCATCATCATCATCATCAAATTTTGAAGAAAGAGTGGTGCTTGGGCGAGAAGATGAACTATTGTTACTGTGGCTGTGAAAGGTGGTGTTCATGTTGAGGTTGTCATGATTTTGTGAAGCTGCCCACTTGTCGGCAAGGCCATCACCTTCGAGCATTCTGACCACTTCTGACATTTTGGGGCGGTGGACCGGTAGACTCTGAGTGCAAAGTAAAGCTACTTGCAACATCTCTCCCACATCTATCCTGTCATAGTTTCTTCCTAACTCCTTGTCCACCAACACTTCCACCTTCTTTTCTTGCTGTATTTTCTTCACCTGTCTCAAAAAAAAAAAAAACAATATTGATCTCTGCTCTCTAACAAGTAAGATTGAGACCAGAAAGCCCATCACAACATATTTGCTCACTCTCATAAGTCATGACTAGATAGATGAATTCAAGTTCATGATTCCTGGGGGAAAAAACTAAGGCAAAACCGTCTACAAAAAATAGATAGAATAACTCAATCATGAAAAGATAGATGTTAAGCACAGCTTTTGAAAAGTTCAAACTCTATTATGTCTCCTTGATTAGCTCGACCTACTCATCTTACATAGGCTGATTTTCTTTCTTTCTTTCTTTCTTTTTTTTTGGGCGGGAGAACAGTAAACTACTATGTAAGACATAATGAAGAACTTACCCACTCTAGCATTGCACCTTTCTGATTCACTGTTTTTCCAAACTCAAGAGCCGTCATTCCAGTTATGAGCTCCAATAAGAGAATGCCAAATCCATATACATCAGTTTTCTCAGATGATTGGCCGGTGGAGAGGTACTCTGGTGCAATGTGGCCTACCGTGCCACGAACAGCAGTAGTAACATGAGAGTCAGCATGATCAAGGAGCTTTGCAAGGCCAAAATCACCAACAACAGCTTCATAGTACTCATCCAGAAGCACATTAGCAGCCTTAACATCTCTATGTATTATCTTTGGATCACATTGCTCATGCAGATACAGAAGACCTCTGGCAGCTCCGATCGCTATCCTCTTTCTTGTGTTCCAATCTAGAGCAGGTTTGCCTATATCATAAATAAATGCTTTAGGATCTCAGAAAACAAGTTGAGCGTTTGAACTTGACAGCCAAAGTATGTATTCACACAAGAAATTGAAGGTAACATTTGGTTAATGGAATCCATTACAGAAAAAGCATGGCAAATACAGTTTTTAGCGGAACTCACATCTCACATACTATTATACTATTCATGATTGGGTAATTATATGTAGAATTTCTCCTCAGACATCAGAAGACGAATTGGTTTCCAACTATTGTTTGTTTCCACTAAGAGGAGAATACATCAAATCTATAACATACGCCTAGTATGCCACTTATTAATCATTGGAATGCCTCAATTTAGCAAACCATTTCTAAATGTTTAATATTAAAAAAGCAAGCCTCACAAATTTACAGCACGTTGAGCTTGGATCCAAAACTAACCTTCAAACACACATGTAAAAGAAGTATTCAACTTTGTCCCATGTCTCTTAATGGAAATTAGAACTAGTACCTAGGTCCTTCAATCATGAAACGCGGAAAGGCTAAAACAGGAAGGTGCACATCACGGATTTTAGGATGTAAGTTAGAACTAACAGCAAGGTGATTCTTTCATTCAAAAAGATCTGACAGCAAAAGCGGATATCACAAGATCACAATTCACAAGGGAAGAGAAGTACCAACCTCTAAGTCTGGATGCCACACTTCCATTAGACATGAAAGGATAAACCAGAAGCTTCTCATTAGAAGTAGCACAAAATCCAACTAAGCGAAGTAAATTGCGGTGAACTGCCAAACTGATCATCTCTAATTCAGTTCGAAACTGCGATTCCCCAGCACTTCCAGTGATATCTTTCAGCCTCTTCACAGCAACCAGTGTCCCATCTCCAAGCTTTCCCCTATAAACATTGCCAAAACCTCCAGCACCAAGAATGTTCTTGGAGCTGAAATTATCTGTTGCATGTTGAAGCTCTCTGAAAGTGAAAATGTTGAGATTCCCCAAGTGAACAAGCCCATCTTCTTGATAATCTACCACGAAACAAGAAAGGAAAAAAACAATTGAGAGTCATTGATTGTGTGATTAAAGAATTTGTTTCATTGTTACCTACCACTGACATACAGAAGCGCCCGGTGCTGTCTTTTCTTTATATGCCAGAAGAACCCTAGAGACAGCAGTATGAGAAAAGCAAAGCTAAGGCTGATCCCAAGTGCAATTGCTATTTTCTTGGACTTGTGCTTCCCTGCAAATTTGAAACCAATTATAAGTTGCAAAAGTAAAAGGGAAATCCTTATATTGGTCATAGGTGGTAGAACTTTAGTTTAATCCTCCCAAGATCATTTCTTTTAATTCAGTCATTCAATCATCATTAAACAAAAAACTAACAACGTTGCTGTTTCATCTTATTTTTTAATCCGATATTTAGCATCAAGCATAAGAGTAATCTTACTTTCACGTTATTTACTGCCCAATACTTTGGGTAAGATTTACCATTCAATAGTTAAAGTCTGTTGATTGGTTAACTTTGGCACTAATCATTGAGGGACTAAATTGAAAATGATCAATAGAGGACCAAATTTAAAGTTCACCAGTCTGTAAATGACTAAAGTAGAGTCTGAAGATCGTGCCAGTTTATAAGGAGGCTACCTTGTGAGGATGGAAGAGAAAATGAAACAGGCAAGAGGGTTGTAGTTCCTGAGCAACCTTCAGTAGAGCTTCTTCCACAAATCAATGGGTTCCCCACAACACTACAGAAGTAACCGTGAATCGATACAAAAGATACGTTCAAGAGAAAGTATACGTCTACACACACAGAGACACACAGAATGAAAGAAGAGCCCGTACTTGAGTGATCTAGCTGGAAACTTCGGTACGGGTCCACTGAGATTGTTATAAGACAAGTCTCTGAATGTTTAGAGTTACCATATCAGCAGAAATAAGGACTCATTAAGTAGCTTTTGTTCCATTTTTCAAGACATTAGTCTTGCAAAAGCAGATAAAGAAATACTTTGGAGCTGAGAAAACTCATACTCACAGGAAAGCAAGTTGAGGGATGCTGGCTAGTGACACAGGAAAGGGCCCAGATAAGGTGTTGTTGTTCAGCCTCCTACTCAGGATGGAAAAAGAACACAACATTAAACTCTATGCAAGCAAAGTAATGAAAAACTAGAATGATAAACAGTACTAGAAATGGTCTCATAAGTCAGCAACCAAAATGCAAAGAGCGGTTAATTGTTGGTTACTAGACTTTCCTCCGAATCTTACAAAGATAATTTCAAAACCATTTTCCCACACTTTCTTGGCAAATTAGGGGCAATAAGAAAGAAGATGAGAGTTTACTCACAAATACTGAAGATTATCCAAGTGACTTAAAGAACCGGGAATCACACCAGAGAATCGATTATTGGAAAGATCTAAAGTCTGTAGCTTAGAAAGGGTACCAAGTTCCGGCGGGATTTGGCCGGATACATTGTTGTTCTGCAGTAACCTACATTAATCAATCAACAAATTGAGATTAGAAATTTCAATGACAAAGGAAACAATTAACGAGATGGGTTCAAAGTTCAAATAATCAGTCTGCAATTAGTGCTGTGATCAACTTTCTCGGGGTTTGATAGCCACGAGTCTTGGCTGTATAAACTATTCACAGGCATGGAAAAGAGACTAAAATACAAAAATACAAAGATCAGAGGTCAAATATGTTACAGAATGGCGTGATGACAACAATGTTTCAAAGCCATGCTCTATCCCCAAAACCCCAAAAGAAAGAGAAGCATAAGAAAAAGAAAACTGGAGCAGAAGCTAGGAAAAATGGCAAGGTTCCCTCACACTTGTCGAAGATTTGTCAGATTTCCTATGGCAGAAGATAAGGTTCCAGAAAGAGATTGACTTGGAGCTCCACTGCAAAAACCAGAAGAAAAACCATGAACTCGCCAAATGTATTAGTCTTCCAAAGAGCAGAACATAGTGAAGAAGAAGAACTCACAAGCCTACAACAAGGGAATCAGAAGAGCAAGTGATCATAGCCCAACTACAAGGGTCTACTGAGTATTCATCCCAGTTGCTTAATACCCCATGTGGATCACTCAGAGATGCTCTTATGCTTATCAATGCTTCCACTGCAGCATGAATATACACACAATAAGAGAAACTGAGAAAATTAACCGTAGGTAAAACTCGTTAATGTAAGGAGTCTACACTCCTTATTCCTTACCTTCGTGGTTGCGAGGCTCGTAAGAGAAACAGAGTCCAGAACAAGAGAAAAAGAAGAGAAGATAAAACCAAGGAGAAGCCATAATTATGGAACAATGGTGGTAATGATCGTATTTCACCAAGGAACATGAAATATGCTAAAAGCAATCCTCATAATGCACAAACAAAGTTACAAAGCCGAGTTTTCTCCTTTTAAAAAAAAAAATACTTATGTCCCCTCGTTGTCCTTGGGGTCCTGGCCTGGTCTGTGTTTTTTCTCTCCCTTTTCCTTCCATCACTCCCTTCCATATAGCTTTACAACAAATTCCACAAAAGAAATGAATTAAAAAGAAAAAAGAAAACTTGGGAGAGAGAGAAAGGCAAGGGAGAATCAGATAGGTATGATACGAATTGTCAGAAGTTTGTAGGAGTGAATGTGTTGCGCCCAGAAATTGAGAGGGAAATGTGGTTACTGTGGTCGTACTACCTGGACTTGCTCTCTGATTTTAAACACGCTGCTAGTTATCTTTGTAAATTATTTTTATTAAACCCATCAATATTAAAATAAAAAAATATATAAAATAAAAATATATAAAATTTTAAATATATCTCTACATAATAAATATAAAAAATAATGTCATATTATTTTTATTTTTATGGAGGATAATTTTAAAAATATATTTTAAATATTATTTAAAAAGTTGTGTCTTAACTTAAAAAAAAATTAAATAAATTTTTTAAAATGTAATTTATAAATAGAATAAGAAAAAATAAAACACAACCTCTCCCTTTCTCACACTCTCTCTCCCCAGCTTACTTCAACCACAACAAAATTCAAAACTTTTGTTAAGGGACTTCGTTACCGTCTATTCAAGAATTGATTTGTATGAGGTGTCATTTATATTGCATTGGATTGTATTGTAGTGAAGCTTTTTCCTTTCCATATTTTTATTCTGTAAATCGTTTGAGACTGTATCGTCAGATTTGATCAGCCAAGAGCCAACTGTTACATCTGAAAGCACAATAGCAACAGAGGGTCCCTGTAATGGTAGAGAAATTCTGCGTTCTCATCATCATGGTCCTTTTTCCAGGCCACCTTGGTCCGTCTCGGTTACTAAGGGCTTGTTTAAAAATTTGTTTTAGAAACAGTTTTCTGAAATTTAAAATAAGATAATAAAAAATTTTGTTTAGTAATATATTTTTAAAAAGTATTTTAAAAATAAAAATAAAATATTATTCTGCATGACAGAAAAATCAAAATAACTTTTAGGTGTTATGTGATTATTGTTCTGAAGAATAAGGAAGAATGAAAAAAATATCTATTTTTATTTTTTTTTATTCTTAGAACATGTTCTATAGAACCTAATTTTAAAATAATAAAATAAAAATAATTTTAAACAGTCCTAAATTATTATATTAAAATTTTTTCTCCAGAAAAAAATAAAAATAGCGCACTTCATTCTTCTTCAGTTTTATTATTATTAAAAAAAAATACAACCTTTGATCAATGTACATTTAGCTTTTTAAAAAAAAATTTGTCCCTTTATTTTTTTCCTAAATCCCTTAAGCTTCATGAATCATGATAATAATAATAAAGAATTAAATATAAAACGTACAAGCATATAAATTATATTACTTTTTATGCTGACTTATTAAAATAATAGTAGTTATTAAAAATGAGCAAAACATTAAAAAACAAGTAGAACATTGAATTAAAATTCTTAAATTCACAATAAATAAAGATTCAATGGAAAAGAAAACACAAAAGCTAGAGCAAATAAGTAAAATATATGTGTGTGTGTGTATTACTAGTCATTTTACTCATTGACTCATCATTATTTGGTCAGGCCAATAATAGAATTAGCAAAGTTACGTTCATATCGATAAATTTATCCTTATTTTATATTCATAATTTTACTGATACAACGACGGTTATAATAATTATAACAACTAGTGTCGTAGAAAAATGAAACTTGAAATAATAGGAAAAAATAAAGAAAATAATACCAAAACACATTGAATACTTATTTTATTGCCTCTTGCATATTTTATATTCTGAGATTTCTGACAACACACCATGGCCCGAAAGGATTCGACTTCAGCTTCATCAGCTGGTTAGATTTGATATATCAGTCATTGAGTCACAAGAGGTTTGCGCGCGCCTAAAACCTTACGTACCGTTTTTCGAAACATACAAATTCAGAGATGTTACGATTACAACATGGACACGGGCTAAATAGCGAAACATGAGTACGAGAGAGAATCCGACCGTAAAATCTCATAGCCATGAAAGAGGAACGATACGAAAGACTAAAAGGGTGATGAGATAATGCAAAGACGAGTTCAAAAGAGAAGAAATTTGACTACTTTGTCGGGAAAAGGAATAATAAAGCAAAGAAAAATTAGTTAGAGACGTGACCATTTGGGCACACAAGTGGAATGTGATTTAATTTCAGTATTTGTGGAGGCATTGCCAGCTGTCCTAATGCTACTTTGTTCCCACAGACAAACAACGTGAGCTATCTGCTTTAAGTAAATTGCTGTCACTAAATTTCTTTTCTCTTGCCTCTCAGCGTGACATAATTTATGTATTCATAGGTGTGGGTGCATGTGTGTAAAAGGACATAAATACCCTTGTGATCTCTATGTTTTTTTGCATGGCTTGCTGTAGTCCGTGGCGTTGGCTCACAGATAAAATCAATAATATGCAGCAAGTCATACTCCCTCTAATTTTATTTATAAAATAAAAAAATAAAATTTTTTTAATTCTACTTATAAGTTACGTATTAAATTTTTATCGTAAATTTTTTCTTTTACCCTCCATTAAATATTGAAGAAAAAAATATGTTGCTAAAATATGTATATTTAATATGAGCAAAGGTAAAAATCTATTATGTTTTAAAACAGAGTTAATGAATTTTAAAGTTTTCTTTAATACTAATAAAATATGTTAAAAATAACTTATAAATGAAATCAGAAGAGTATGGAATCAATCAATTTGGATTAACCCAAACAAGTTCAAATATAAGAAACAACTCATGGTCAACCTGACCCTAACAATCCTAATTTATTTAGAGCAATCTTAATATTTGAATTGTTAGATTTTTTTTCTCATTTTTACAATCAATTTCAAATTTTATCTTAAAATTAGCGGTTGTTATTAATATAAAAAATATATAAAATATAGTACCTTTACGAGATTGGGGAGAATTTTGTTATAGGTGCTAATGTCTTACCCCATTCTCATCCTTGCATTCACAATATTCTGCAGTGCTTTTATTCTCAGTGATGCTCCTTCAATCTTCCTCACTTCGGTATTATTTATAAGACATTATTTAAAAGTAATTTTTTATTAAAATACATGATATTTTATAATAATTAAATTACTTTTTTTTAATTTTATCCTTTTTTATTAGCATAAAGATATTTAATATAATTGTATTGTTACTTAAAGTCAACGATAAAAACAAAATTACCTCTCATTTTTTATGGCATCAAGAAAAAATTAATTTTTTTAATATACGTGAAATGATTGAAATTGTCATATAATAAAAATTAAAAAAAATATTTATAAGTCACTTGTAATCATTTTATTAAAATTAAATAGAGATAGTTAAATTATTGATGTTGTTGAAAAAAGTAACAAATTTTATTTTATCCGTATTAAATGCATCTTTTTTTAAAATATTTTATCTTTTATGTAACTTTTTATTCTCTATCCAGTGAAAATTGTGAAAAGGTAAAATGCATATAGGGTGAGTAATAATCCATCTTTTTTAATGTAAGATGACTTGAAGAAATGATCAAAAATTCATCTTAAAAAGTAATTTATAAACAATACTGTAAAAAATACTTTTTTAATCATCAAAATCTTCATTGGAGAGCGTTTTATTCCTTGAATCAACAAACAACGTCTGTGTATTAAAGCAAAAACCTACTTGGGAACACCAAAAGCTCCCCCACTCGTGCTTCCCTCCCGTTAGCTTTTTTTTTAATTTACTACGTTTTCATGCCCTGATCTGTATATCAGTATATGGTATATTTGTAATTAAATCAAGTATCATCCTTTTCTAAGATGTGGTTAAATTAAAAATAAAAGAACAACTTATTATAGAAAAGAGCCAACCGGGATGAAGAAATTTTGATAAGCTATATTTGTGAATGGAGGTACGCTTAATCAATGATTTTTTTCCAACTCCTGATAGTGGATTTAAAAAGAGACAGAATTTAGACCTGAACCAATTTCTGCATAATTATATCTGCTACTAGAAGGAATAGCCGATTAGATCCTAACTATAAATAATTTCCAATGTATTTCATTACAATAAAGAAAAAAATTATTAAAACTTATTAATTCTTTCTAAAAAGCTGATAACTTTTCAAGTTTGCTCATGTTAAATACATGCGCTTTAATGACATATTTTATCCCATCAATATTTAATCTAGGCATAAAGGAAAAAATTGTTATGAAAAAAATTAAAAGATGAATGATGAATTGACTTTTAAACTATAAGTCGAAGAGCATTTGAAATTCTAAACTCATTTTTTATGCAATATCTCCCTTCAATTTTAGAAACAATACAATGTTGCCCCTATGGCCTTATCTTTAATGAAAATTGATTATGACCATTAGTTAATCAAAAAATAAAATAAAAAATTATATAAACTTTGTCATTTTCTATGATTTTTATTCTTTTTAAGTAATTTGCTATCATTTTTATTAATTAATGGTCAAAATTAATTTTTATTAATAATGAGAGTGACATTATATTATTTTAAAAAGTTAAAAATATTTAATTAAAAACGAATTTAAAATCTTAAATGTATGTTCATGGACTTTTAACTCAAAGATCAATTTATTATTTAACTCAAAAATTAATAACATGCTTTATAGATAACGGTGGGGGCAACCTTTCAATCTTGACTTGTAAAGGAGGACAAATGTAGTGTTTCAGGAGGACGGGGCAATTGATTATACCCATGGCTAACAGTAGATGCAATCATTCAGTGTTGATTGATAACTTGAGTGTAATAACTCAGTTCCGACCGGTAAATCTAGTAAAACAACAATAAAGCTTGGTCCAAGCTCCCATAATTATATCAACATCATGTCTCAAACTCTTTTTTTTTTAAAAAAAACAAGGAAATCATTCATAGGTTCACTCAACCAATTTACTCACAAATAGAAATGCAAAAGCATCATGTGAAAAATCAAAGATCTTCAAATCATGACATTTCTCAAGGACCAGAACTTCTTCTCTCTTTGTATTCTTTCCTAAAAAATAAAAAGAAATACAATTTGGTTAGATGTGATTTATCATCTTTTATGATTCCAATGGGCGCAACACAACACTGGCATGCATTATAATGATGCAAATTTATGGCTGTCAAATTTGATTGACATTTATATATATACATATACACATGCATGTTCTTGATCACATTCTTACCTCTAGTTTCAATCATTAGAGCATAAAAGAACCCACATAGTAATTCTTTTCACATGTACCATCAATATCTCCTCCAAGTGGTGATCCCTCTCAATGCTTGTCTCGTCCTAGATCATATGTGCATGCATGACCACCAATTACAATATTAAATCATCATGAATCACTCTATCTTCATCACTTTTTTTATTTGTCCCCGCCATATGTACATTGCCTTCACATTTTAAATAAGGTATTCATAACTTGTGTTTTTGATTTTATCATATACATTAATGTCTCCACGTGTTATTATTAAATTTAAAAATGACCTCATTCTTTAAATGGTAAGTAGGTTCTTTGTAAATTTTATCTTACATATAGATATTTAGGCATATGCGTTAGGATTTAGAAGACTATGACAAATTATGATATTTTTCTTAAAAAAAAAGGCTGAATATCACATTTCTAATTATATTGATAAATAGACAAATATCCTTCCTGATACGGGCTGCATTTGCTGGACTTCACACATAGGGCCTTATGGGAAATATTGTTGGGCTGTTTGGTGGGTGAAGTTGACTAATCTCGGACGAGGAAATATCCACGGGCCTTGGATTTAAAACAATATGGGGGGTTTTTTTTTTTTGGGTATGTGAGGGTATTTTTGGTAGAAAACATCCACTGTCCGGAACCAACACACTGACCAATTCAGATTAAGCTGAGTTTGGACTTTCTGGACAAAAACTCTGCCACCCAATGCTGCTACACTCACAGGACTCTAGCTCCAGAGTTTTGATTAAGCAGATACAGCACCCTTATTAATTGAAACAAGTACTTGTTAGTTAGTATTATAGGGTATTTGTAGAGTCATAGATAGTTTCAACAGAGTATATCAAGTTTTATGGTATATCACCTACACGAAATATAAAATAGAATAGTCACATGAAACTAGTTCAAATGACAAGGCCGTGGGTTTAAATTTTATTATCAGTGTGAGTACTTTGTTGGTGGACGATATATAAATACTCTTATAAGTGTTCTTATAAGTGTATCTTAATCATGATAAGTTACCAGAATTCAATTCATATAAATCTTTTTTTTAATAAAAAAAATGACAAAAGTGGGTTAGAATGTGATTAGAGGTTAAGGGTTTAAACCCTTTTGATATATCAAAAAAATTGTAAACTGACATATACATATAAAAGATAGAGTAAAGCGCCATGTTGTTCATAAAACACTGATATCATGACTTACCTTGATCGTGGTTTGATTGTAAATTCCAACTCTAGTTACAACATCAAATTTATATTAACATCCCAACACGAATTATATTTTTATATATTCATACAAAGTTGTCATTTTCTGCAGTCATGGAAAACGAAGTTTCCTTCGCATTATGAGGCCCGAAACACCCTGTTTTGTCATCAAGTTTACGAAGCTTCCCACTTCATAAATCCTCTCTCTCTCAGTGGATTTCTGGATCAGGCTGGTATACGTTTTTTTGGGTATTTTTATTGTTTTTGAACGAATAACCTACATAGTAAATGAATTCCACTATAATTCTTGTCTTATAATAATAATAATAACAACAACAAGAACAAGAACAATAACAATAATACTCGAGTATTATTGGGGCCTAATTCAGACTGAATGACATGCGCTCATCATGATTCTCGCCATAAATTTTACATTTAATATTGATATTAGTAGTAGTAGTATTTACATATTTTTGGACAAAATATAATATTTATATTCACATCAACGTCATTGATTTCTACCAAATAATAATTAAATTCCAGATTTTCTTTTCGTAAACGTTTCAGAGTAGAGGGCCTGTCGGCGAGCATTTGCGGCCCAATTTGTAAGCCTTAAAATGTGCATCGAGGTGGGTTTAAGTTTTGAGGTCAGCGTTGGGCAACTGAAACTATAAGCTTCATCAGATCTTTTTCTTCACCGGAGATGGGAGGCCAAGACAATGGTTCACTCTCTCCTATTTGTTTGGTTGCCCAGAAAATTTCATGCCTCTTTTCTTTTCATCCATCACTCTCATTTAGTTTCGCAATCCCCTAATACTTATTTGATTTTTCTTTTCTGTGTTTGCATCAGCAACAGCATCATTCCTTCCCGACAAATCTGCCAAGGTGTTCGTTGCTGGTCACAGGGGTCTCGTCGGCTCAGCCATCGTTCGCAAGCTAACCCAACTTGGCTTCACTAATCTCGTTCTACGCTCCCATAGCGAGCTTGATCTCACTCGCCAGTCTGACGTTGAAGCTTTCTTTGCCTCCGAAAAGCCTCAATTTGTTATTGTTGCTGCGGCTAAAGTCGGTGGCATTCATGCCAACAACACTTACCCCGCCGATTTCATTGCCATCAATCTCCAAATCCAGACGAATGTGATTGATTCTGCTTATCGCAATGGCGTGAAGAAACTCTTGTTTCTGGGATCCTCTTGTATTTACCCCAAATTCGCACCACAACCGATCCCGGAAAATTCTTTGCTTACTGGCCCCTTAGAGCCCACGAACGAATGGTACGCCATCGCTAAGATTGCTGGGATCAAAATGTGCCAGGCTTACAGGATTCAGTATAACTGGGATGCGATTTCGGGTATGCCGACGAACTTGTATGGTCCCTACGACAATTTCCATCCCGAGAATTCGCATGTTTTACCTGCTTTGATGCGAAGGTTTCATGAAGCTAAGGTGAAAGGTGCCAAAGAGGTTGTCGTATGGGGAACAGGAAGTCCATTGAGGGAATTCTTGCACGTCGATGATCTGGCGGATGCTGTTGTGTTTTTGATGGACAAGTACAGTGGATTGGAGCATGTTAATGTAGGGAGTGGGAAGGAGGTAACTATCAAGGAGTTAGCTGAGTTGATGAAGGAAGTGGTGGGATTTGAGGGTGATCTTGTTTGGGATACCACGAAGCCTGATGGGACTCCTAGGAAGCTGATGGATCGCTCGAAACTTGCAGGACTGGGCTGGACGCCAAAAATTTCGCTCAAGGATGGGCTTGTTGATACCTACAAATGGTACTTGGAGAATGTCATGCTATAATGTAGTTTGTTAATGGGAATGTGCCATACAAAAATTATAGGTACCTGTTTTTCCATCATGATCTTATTTTAGTTTTATTCATATTGGGCACAATATGACCAGTGATTCTGTATCATTTTATGAGGAATCAATATCTTAATGCTAGCTTGTTGTATCTCGTGATATTGTGACAATCAACTGAGCTATCGCTAAAAGCTCTACATTGAATCTTATATTTCGCTTGCTGTTAACAAACAGTTGCTTTGTTTTAAGCTTAACTTTCCCGTAGGAAGATAAATGGTTCTCCTGTCAATCCAGTTTCCTTGTTAATTCTATTATTTTATTTTCATTTGTAATGTGTGTGGTTGAACATATGTCGAAACTTCGTTACGAGTTCACGTTGATAATTTAGCATCGAGTGCTATGTCCTCTTCTTGGGGATGATAGAAGCCATCCATGCAAAATTTTTATGCAGTCCCAGTAGAGGTTTTAGGAATCTTTTTTACTTCCGTTTTGTCTGTGGGAACAAGTTCAACAGTCTATCATCATACTACTAAATTTGTTTCTTGACGTTGTATTGGACAATGCACACTGCTGAAAGTAGGCTGACACTTATTCTCTTTCTCTTCTCTAGTAAGCTTGTCCTGGCCCTTGGTAATAGCGGGGATCTGTTTCATTGTACGGTGTAAAAGGATGAATATTTGCGGTCACAGTTAATTGCTTTGTTTGGGCTAGTTTAGATTGATGTTAGTTTCTCCCTTTCATTTTCTGAAAGATTTGGATAGATCCTTTGAATAGCATGATCAAGACTTCACTGCGAAGCATATCAGATGTTATAGAGTAGCTGCAGCCAACTTCATTACACAAAGCCCGAGTATCTAAATTGGTGACTTGCTTATACCAATATGTCTTGCTTGGCCCGTAGAGATTCCTCAGGTAGGACAGGATGGGATGACTTGTTTCTCTCTTGATAGGTTGAAGTGGTTTTATTGGAGGCACATATTCTGTAATATGGTATTTTGAGTCCCCTTATTAGGATCCATAATTTCTCTCAAGACAGATACATTGCACTGGTGTGGCACAAAGTTTTAGATCCCGAAGGTTTCTCATAAACTGTTTTCCGTGATCGAGAATGGGACAAATGTATTCTGTCTCTTAACTGTCTTTCCCCTCCGCTGTGCCTTGGTTTTAGTCTTGGTGTCTTCGCTGGACCCAGCTTCATCAGGTCATTAGACCTTCTAGTAATTGAATTGGGTGGTCTTCCTGCTTCTTTCCCATCTTTCAGCAAACCAATATGGGATAATTTGTTCAATCCTTCATCTTAGCGTGCTCCTATTTGCCCAATGAGTTGATTGTATGTCTGTCAGCTTTGACATGTATGATCAGGTGAATTAAGAAATTTAGGGCTGGCTAGGGTGGTTTAATCTAATGACATCTCGGCTACAAACTAATGCTGGAAGGAAATTTCATTTTACTCTGTCCTAGTACTATGGAATTTTATTGGCTTACCGATTCTGTTGTACTGGAAGGAAAGTACCTGAATGTGAATGTCAAGGGCATGAAAACAGCATTTGCCAATAGCTGCGTGGACATTGATCCCGAGGTAGTTTTTTTTTTTTTTTTTGGTTGAGCAAATTGATCCTGAGGTAGTTTAAATCAAAGGTTGCAACGAAAAGTAGGACTTATTCCTTGCTCATTCTTTCAGACTTTAGGCAAATTGTTATAGGCTTTAGCGTGCTCCACCTCTGCTGCTTTAACAATTGCAGAGCGTTTAAATTTTCTTTAGCTGTTTCTCTCCCAGTATCTTCTTTAGCTGATTTAGATGAAGGCAGAACACAGGTTAAGAAGTTTTGACATTCTACCATTTAGTTTTTATCAACTTATGCATGATTGCACGTGTCTTGACTGTTTCCGGTTGTAACATAACTCTTATGGACATGCTGTTACACTGTTACTAGATTTGCTCAGTTATTGGGCCATTCATGTTAAATGGCCCTTGGGTTTTACTCCTGTAATAGTTAAGGCCTTACGGAAAGGAATTCAAGAGACTGATCAGAAAAGGCATATCAACGAGAGAACAGAATTGTTTCGTTAGTTCAAGTATAACCTCATTCATATCCCTGAGAAAACCAACACTTTGGTGGCAATGGTAAGAAATCCGAGTCTGGTTTTATACATATATGTACACCAACTAGGGAGCTCTAGTTGCTGAATTAGTTACAAATTCGCAATAAATTTCACTTCCCATATAGGACGCTATGTTTGAACACTTGGTTGATTTTCTTTGAAGTCATGTGACCTCATCTGCATCGAAGTCCAAACTGGCTTCTGAGTTGAAACTTGAAAGGACAGTTATTGTTAGTCTAATCAACTTTTTGATATATAAAATTATTCTTGCGTTTACAAATATCATGAAAAAATAAAGACAAAATACAAAAGATAATATATAGAAAGATTTTTTATTTTTATTTTTTGCCAGAAGAAATAAATCTGCATAACAGGCTTTAGCAGAAACAATAAGAGGAGTATAGGAAGAGCTCATTGTTGGTACAAAGTACATTTATAATTGATGGGACCTTATCCCCTCCTTTGCTTGCAATCAAAAGAACTCATTCATTATTCTCAATTCTTGCAGTTGTAGATGGGTGAAAAACTTCCAAATAACAATAAATTAATAAACAGTAATTCTTGTGCGCATTTATGACTTCTGGACGTACTTTTACCAGTGAGTTCTTTGAGACATGGATCTCTCTTCAACCCAAAAGACAAAACAAATCTTTTTAATAAACATGACCATGAACATGTTCGGTAATATCTGTGAGGAAATTTCATCTCTTAGAAAGATCAAACTCGACATAATAATCCCAAAACAAGGAAAGTTCGTATATTTTGTCTCTGCATTGTATTTCTTGCTGCAACACTTTGCCATACAAGAACAAAAATCTCTATCGTTTTGCTCAGCACAAGGTCCTACTCATGCTGCTACATTGTCAATTCGTTCACTCGCTCCTTGACACCAATCACATATCACAAATGATATAAAATAGAAATGTAGTCATTGTATTCTCTTCTACAACTATTTTTTTCATAAAAAAATTATTCGACTATCAAATTAATTCTTAAGATATACAGTTAAAATTTAAACACGTCATCCCAGCACAAAACATTTGTAACTGAAACTATATCAATATCATGAGACTCTCAAGCTTGAAATGTTATCACTAAACACAAACCTCTCAAGCTGTAATGATCATGAGATTCTGAATGTAAGGAAGGAAATGAGATTCAAAGAAGGAATTCAGATTACAATATTGCTAGCATCAAAGGGAAGCACAAGAGGATGATGGGTCCTCTGGCGATTTTAAGATCTGAGCAATGGCTAAGATCATGAAGCCGTCCACGTTTCCCAAGAAAAAAACAAGAAAAAAAAAAATTTTGTAGAAGAGACAGAAGGAAACACTGACATTAAATTTTCAAACGGTAATAAAACAGTGTTAGGATGTTGAAGGGTCTGCGCACTGGGGACCGCCAAACTTCAAAGCATCACTGACCCAAAATCCTACAGGATTAGGTTAGGTGCACCCTCATTTACTGCACAAACCCAAGCCTCAAAAACAATAATTTCTTGCTCTCCCCAGTCAAAAATAGTGCACAAAGTCACTAAATTCACTAAAATTCAAGAACACATCCTTCATCTTCATCACCGTCATCAGATAAATTGATACCAGAAGAAGGAATCAAACCTGTGATAGAGCAACATTTTGCTTTTGAATATCCACAGATCAAGCAAAAGTTTAAAAATGATTTAATAAAAATCTAATCACTAAGCTAACACCAGATTGAGCCGTCTAGCCAATATCACCACCATCACCGGCACCATAATCAACAGTTAAAGCAGCAGAGGAAGAACAGCAACAGGAAGAGGATGAAGAAAAAGGACATGGTCATTAATTGAACTTTAGGAACAGAATGAGGCCATTCTTGTTCACATGAGCTAGAGAAACCCATTTTCCTCACAAGCATTCTCAAGCCAAAGACCCACCATTCCTCGATCCCACAAGCTCTATAAGCCATAACTGTCCTCGACATTCTCAACTACCTCTGTGTTCACCTCTGCTTCGGCCGCTGCAAACTAACACTGCTATCCCACGAACACATAATCACCATCATCACAATCACCCACAGAAGAATGCGACAGCACTCACGAGATTTCACAGCATGAGTCAAAGAGAAACGGGGAGTGGGGTGGACGTGTTCTTTATTCTAGGACGAGTAGCCGAGTCCTATGATAAAGAAATCGAAGGGAATTGAGGATGTCGGAAGAGGGTATTTCTGTGGGTCTGAGAATGGAGGAAGAAGACGAAGCATAATGTGAGGAAGAAGAAAGAAGGGAGGGAAGAATGAGTAGTTGGTGGTGCGTGTATGTACGGTGGATGGTTCGGTGTTGCTTTGAATTTGGCTTAAGCACACCATTAAAATCCAATCTTTTGCTGCATATTGGGTTGCCCCAGAGGAGCAGATTAGCTAGATTTGCGCAAGCAACCTCTCTGTCTGTCCTCTTGTTCTTGCTTGCCCTGCCTATCCTTCGTCAATTGCCATAATCCCACTCATGCCCCTGGTGAGAAAAAAGTTTGGATTTTTATACTCATTAGGACACAAGAGCCTCTTTTCTTTTTCCCATGTCCAGACCCCTTCGAAATTGAAGAAGGGCGTACGTATTTTCTACTCGACGAAACACGCAGCAGTGCCGAGGTTAAATTTCATCGAGACAACCACCAAACCCTAGAAAGAGAATTATAATTGGAAAAAAAAAAAAAAAAGTGCTTCTCTTTCTAACATTCCTTTGGGGATTCATCCCTAGCCTCTAGGGATGGTGAAACCAGTAGGCGGAGCCCGCTGGACCCGGCTGCACTGAATACCCCTCTTTATCTTTAATAAAAGAATTGTAGGATTTTTTATAAAAATATAACCTTCGGCCCGAACTTTTTTTTATTATCACTTTAATCTCTAAATTTTAAATTAAATAACTCAGTTTTTTTTAGTTTCATGATACTGAATAATTCAATTCTTTTAAATTTTTTAACTCACTACAACTTTGTTTTTATGATAATTTTTTATTATTTACAGATATGTTTCCATTAAAAATAATTTTATTTGAAGTGTATTCTTTTTTTTTGGTAAAAATTTAAAATTTAATTCGTTACATAAGAAACTATTTCCTTTCATTACACCC